AGTCAGGACCTCGGTTTAACGTCTCATCCGTAAGACGCCGCCCACTGACACTGACAGTATAGTGTCCCCTTCACTTTTACTGGGGCATTAGGACTCACACAGATCACAGGTTGAGCGCCCTCTGTTGGCCTCTCCAACACCACTTCCAACAGCAACCTAGTTTTCCCATGTGGTCTCCCATCCAGGTACTACTTACTACTTACTTACTGACCAGGCTCAGCCCTGCTTAACTTCAGTGAGTAACTGGTCTTGGGCTGCAGGGTAATATGGCTGTGGCCAATGATGAGAAATGTTAAGAAATGCATGTTGAAGCAGTGGCGCAGTAAGTAGTGCTGTCGCCTCACAACAAGAAGGTCTTTGCATGTTCTCCCGGCGTTCGCATGGGTTTCCTCTGTGTGCTCCGGTTTCCCCCACAGTCCAAAGACATGCAGTGCAGGTGAATTGGGTAGGCTAAATTGTCCGTAGTGTATGAGTGTGTGTGAATGGGTGTGTGGATGTTTCCTAGAGATGGGTTGCAGCTGGAAGGGCATCCGCTACGTAAAAACTTGCTGGATAAGTTGGAGGTTCATTCCGCTGTGGCGACCCCTGATTAATAAAGTGACTAAGCCGACAAAAAAATGAATGAATAAATGGCTACTGTGTTAAACAGGACCCTAGGGTTGTGATTATTTTCTTCTATTAATGTTGAAAAATAAGCTGATCTGGCAGACTTTAAAGCTTTTCTGAAGTTAAGTGTACTTTCTTTCCAGGCCAGACAAAAAAAACTTTAGTTTTGATTTCTTACATATGCGTTCCATTTTCTGGGCTGCTTCCTTTAAGGCATGTGTGTGCTCATTGTGCTATGGTGTCAGATTTTTTTCCCTAATCTTTTTGAAGTGTAACGGAGCAACTATGTCTAACATGCTTGAAATGACAGAATCAATAGTTTTAGTTGCAGTGTTAAGCTTTTCTGGGCGGCTTGGAATGCTATGGAAATTAGAAAGACCAGGTAGATAACAGACAAAGTGATCTTTAGTGTTAGCGGTGATCGTTCTACCATATTTATAGATAGAAGATGATTTAGTAAACCTATCAATGCACAATAAACAAAATATTAAAGAGTGATCTGAAATATTATCACTCTGCTGCACAACTTCAACATTATCAATATCGATACTATGTGATAATGTTAGGGCTAAGGTATGATTATGTCAATGTGTAGGCCCTTAGACATGCTGTTTCACTCAAATAGAGACTAGTATGTCTAAGACAGCCAGACTTAAAGCATCTTTTTCATTATCTAAATGAACATTAAAATCCCCAACAATTAAAATTTTATCTGTGGCCAGAACTATTTCATATAAGAAATCAGCAAATTCTTTTGTAAAGCTGGTATGGTGCCCTGGAGGCCAATATACAGTTGCTAATATAAATTTAGATTGAAATTTATTGTTTAAATTGCACACTGAAATATACAACACTATTACTTTAAATATATTATATTTAAAGTCAAATCGCTGGGTAACACTACAAATATTACTGTATATTATGCCAACGCCTCCCACCTTTGCCTTTAAGATGCAGCTCATGTTTATAATGATATTCTTCATGTTAAGACTTGCTTAGGGTCATGTAATCATCTAGTTTTAGCCAGGTTTCTGTTAGACAAGGTGCATCTAGCTTTAGATCAGTTGTCAGATTATTAACAAACATTAATCATATCATTATCAGTGGATCACTCGTCTGTGTTTGCACTCAGTAAATATTGGTGAAGTGCAGTGAACTGATGACCTTCACGGTCAGTCACAGTCATGTCTATTGAGCACTTGAACACAATGGCAAATCAGCAGTGTTTCAAAACATGCTAAACAGTGCTTAAATGTTAGCGGGAAATTTTTATTTTGTTTGTTTTTTTTTTCAGTACCAAAATTCAGTGTTGTGACAAGTCTAATATAGTGAAAGAATCAGTTTATTAACTTGAGTTTGATAAATGGCATTTAAAATGTGTGTTTAGGAAAGAAAAGCTTAGCTAACTAGTGCCATTTCTCTTAACTTAGCTGAAAATGAGGTCTGAAATCCTTTTTATTTTTACTATCCATTCAGAACGGAACTTCGGGTCACACGGAATGTGGTGAAATGATAAATTTGTGTCCCTTTCTTTTCCCTGATAAGATATACAGCCAGGTACACAACAATACGCCATTGTGGATGCCATTCCTGTGTGACTCCAGGTCATACTTCGGGTTTCTTCCCATTGCAACCTTGATTTCTTTTAAAATGGCAGCCACGTGAAACCAGTTTATACTCCAGTCCTTCTTCGTGCTCAAGCAAAATACAAGTTACGTCAACCTCAGGGGGCAGGATTAAGGTATAGCTTTCATTCAATCCCAAACTACTCCGCCTATTAAATTACTAAACATTTTCAATAGTGCCTTAATGTTATACTATAATGTTATATATTTTAAATCATCATCAGTGAAATTCTTTTTTTTTTTTTTTGCTGAATTATGTGATTTTGTCTGTCTGTTGTAAAAATCAGTTTTACTATTTTAATCATTTTAATGGAAAGTCATTTATTTATTATATTTTGTAGAAAATTAATATAGTCTGGGTGAGACCTACCTCAAAATGTTTTATTGCATTTAAATACAGTGTTTAAAAACCCCACTGCAATGAATAAACAGCAGTCAGTGAGGACATTTCTATTTCTTATTATCAACACTTTAGACTTTGAATGATGGGATTCTCTCAATAAAATGCTGCATGTATTTAATATGGTTTTAAGGATCCCTGGCCCAAGGGCCCTGGTTGAGATGTCTCCGATTTATTGAGACTGGCGGTTCTTAGAAATCTACTCTGAAAAGACGACATCGCCTCTGAGAGCCAACTACTGATACGGGAAAGAAAGACAGAGCTGCATCTCTGAAGGATTGTCCTCTTGGCAATTGTAATGCCAAAGTGAAATGCTAAAAGTATTATTAATGCATTTTCATTCTCATAGTTTTGTACTGTCTGAATAACTACAATTGCATCCAAAGATTCTTCTCCCTCATTCACTTTTGGTGAATGTAGCCTTGGCCGGGAAGAGTTGATGTCATCGGGCGGTACCCAATGATCATTGCATGTTTCAACCCTAAACCGCAACACCCTCAACATTGGTGGGTACCCCTCTCCTCACAAAGCTTGCACAATGGGTCTTTTCTTAAGCCCCACTTGTGCAAGTTTGTCAGAGTTAGGAGTGTGTCATACACTGACCTTAACATAAATGAGATGTGGAAAGATTCCAATCTCCACAGATTTCCCCATGTGATCTTCCTCTTGGGTAGGTCCCACTTGGTCCATGCTCCCTGGATGCTAGCTCTATTGCCCTTGCCCTTTGTCCTTTCTCCTCCAGGTTCCATACCTCCTCCTGGATCATAGCCCTTCTATCCTTGGATCCCGCATTACTCCATTGCTGAATATGAGAAGTTCCAAGACCATGTCTTTCTGTGCTTGGTGTTCCCATGATTTCACGTAGCTTCAACATACTTTCAGCTTGTGCAATAGATGAGTCAGCTGCATCCTGATCGTGTAAGGATGCCTGCCTGCCTGACTTGTTCATCCTGGGAGTCTTTGTATGTCATTATGGCCCTGCACCTTGCTACCTTAAATTCCTCTACCACGGATGACAAAGGAAGTTGGAGCTGCCCTAATCTAATATAAAGGCCTACTGAAGTGAAGCTTAGAGGGATTCCCAGCTACCGGAGGTGCTTGTTGATCTTTCTATCCACTCCTTCTACGTAGGTCATGGGAACTTCATACACCGTTGAAAGCCACATGAGTCTTGGCAGCAATCCATGTTGGCAAAGCCATACTTTAAACATACCTGAGAGCCCTGATTTTTCAATCTTCATCAACTATTTCTCTGTCTGCTTTTCTGTACTGCTTATGTTGTTTCTGAAAGTAAGTGAATCATCAGCCATTTCCCAAGGGACCTAATTGGATTTTCCTTTATCGTTGGAATCACTTCGTCTTGCACATGCGGCAGGACTCTGTCAGTTTACTTTTCCTGATCACCATGTAACTGGATTTCTTTGGCTTAAACCTCATTCTGGCCTACGTTGTTATGCAATCCAGAGCAGTAAAGTCTTCCATGTAACCTCTTATTGGGGGTTGTCAGATGCCCGATTGCATTTTTGGGCCCCGAGCTTCCTTTCCAGCGGCTGTTATTATGGGGTTAATTCCCACGATGAAGAGGATGGGGGAGATTGTACATCCAGTTACTATCTCTTATTCCAGGTTTTGTCACTGGGTGATGAAGTGGCCTGTCTTGAATCGTAGCTGGATTTCACCCAAAGTAACTAATGATTAATCCCTTGATGTGCTGAGGCATAAGGTAATGGTTTGGTGCTGCATGACTGAGGGTGTGAGGAATTGATCTGTAGGCATCAGCCAAGTCCAGCCAAACAACGGTCAGGTTGCCGTAGCTGGCCTTGGTCTTCCGGATCATATGGCCAAGAACTCCAGTGTGTTCCAGACATCCAGAGAAGCCTGGGATTCCACCTTTCTGAATAGCGGTGTTGATGTATCCATTCTCAGTCATGTATGAGGTCATTCTTTTAGCCAGTATAGAGAAGAGGTGGTAAATGTGACTTTAGGTGGTGTATGTTTCAATAGTATCTGGATGCAGCCTTTATGATGCAAGCTATGTTTTAGCAATTTTCCAACTTTTTCAACCTTAAATTTAACTAGCAGTAAAGCAGATTACATAAAACACTTATAAACATCAGTTGACACTGTATATCGCTGAACAATACTAATATAAAATATGATATATTATACTTGTTTAAGGTACATTACTGATATACGTTAAAGTTACACTTTAAACTCACGCTGTAGTTTAATTTGTGATGGCCAAAACAGAATAATAATTGAATGCATGAATGAAATGCAATGAATGAAAACTACACTTGTTTCAAACCTGCTTAAGTTTATAAAAGAATTACAGAATTACAGCCATTCCCATTTTCTCTCTCACTCAGCATATAAATGGATGTATGGAGAGCTGAAGGGGAATGTGGCTTTGCAGTATCTGGCATGGGTTTCATATCCCATCATCCTCGTCGTTTTTGCATCCCTTTTCTGTCATTTGGTTGCTCCACAAGCTATAGGTTTGTACGTTTCATCATCTTATTTCTACTTTATGTACCTTTTTTTGTTCTGATTGTCTGTCCTCCGTCACATTTATTTGCAATACTACATACAGTATTTGATCAATGTTTACTGTAGCTGCCCACAACACATAACATTTTCGTACCATCCTTTCAACATGTAAATCTGATTTGTCTCCCTTGCTCTACCTTTCTCTCATTTATCAATGCCACAAATGTTTTGTAGATTACCCATTTGCCCTGTTTCAGACTAGGCAGATAATACTCACCCATCTTATTTAATATTTTACAATCATTGTGACCAAATCTTCACTGTTAAAATTGTGTCTGTGTTGTATGGATTAATTTCATGCTTATTCTCTTGTCTTACATAGATTTTTTTGTATGTCCCTTAGGCTCTGGGATTCCTGAACTGAAGACGATCCTCAGAGGTGTGGTGTTAAAAGAGTATCTGACACTCAAAGCATTCGTGGCTAAAGTCATAGGTCTTACGGCTGGTCTAGGCAGTGGCATGCCTATCGGAAAGGAGGTGGACCTCTTCTATTTTTTTATTTTACAAATACACACACACAGACACGTATAAATATTTGGAATTACTAATACTAATTAAAGCAACTCAAAATCCAAATAATCACAAATGACCTATTGTGTTTTACAGTACAAGCAATGTCTAAATAAATACAATAACTGAATATCTTTTACAGGACAATATTAACACACTCTATCTATCTATCTATCTATCTATCTATCTATCTATCTATCTATCTATCTATCTATCTATCTATCTATCTATCTATCTATCTATCTATCTATCTATCTATCTATCTATCTATCTATCTATCTATCTATCTATCCATCCATCCATCCATCCATCCATCCATCCATCCATCCATCCATCCATCGTACAAAACTAAAGCAAATAAAACTTAATTCATTCATTCATTCATTCATTCATTCATTCATTCATTCATTCATTCATTTATTCAATCAGTTTTTAGCTTAATCCTTTTTTAAATCAGGGGCTGCCACAGTGGAATGAACGGCCATCTTTTCCAGCTAATGTTTTACGCAACGCATGTCCTTCTAGCTGCAACCCATCACTGGGAAACAACCATACACTGTCATTCACACACATACACACGCTAAAGACATTTTAGCTCACCCAATTCACCAGTAGTACCTGGAGGAAACCCACATCAACACAGGGGGAACATGCAAACTGCAAAAATGCCAATGAAACCCAGTCGAGGCTTGAACCAGCGACTTTTTTGCTGAGGCGACAGCGCTACCCACTGTGCCACCGCGTTGCCGCATCAAATATTATAAATAATATTTATATTACAATAGTTTTTCTACTATTGTATTATATCCATAATTATGTATTATATAAATCAGTATTATGCTATTGTATGATAATATACCATTAAATAAGTAATTATTATAATTAGACTATGACTAGTCGAGTTTTGAGATCTACTGTGTACAGGATTTAGGCCCAATAAGTAATACTTCTGTTTTGTCTGAATTATAGAGAAGAAAATTGTTGGTCATCCAGTCTTTAACAACTTTAATAAACTCAGGTTTTGTTGAAATATATAACTGAGTATCGTCTGCATAGCAGTGCAAGCTGAATCTTCTAATAATGTAGGAGTAGCATGTATATTGTAAACAGCAAAGGGCCTAAAACTGATCGTTAAAGCACATGATACTTCACTGGCCTGATTTGTGAAAGCTATCTATTAATATTTACAAATTAGTAACTGTCAGTTAAGTATGACTTAAACTATTGTAGAGCCTGTCTGTGGACACCTGTAAAATTTGGCAATCTATGAGGATATCATGGTATTCTAAAGATCTCTAGTTTAGTTTTTTTCAGAGTGTGAGTATGATTGTTACACCATGGTGTAGTTTTATTCTCTCTAGCTTTTTTCATTTGATGTGTGTCACAGTATCGTAATTCAACAGCATCCATACTTTTAGTTACTACATCAAGGTCATTTGCATTTGTGGGTGCATTTAAAATGAAAGAAAGATGAGGTAAGTTATTCGTAAATTCATCTTTAGTGGATGGGACATTCTACCAGGGGATTTTTTCTGTGCAGATCTGCTAATTTCAGGTAATTATATAGTAAGAGGTAGTGATCTGTTATATCATCACATTGTGTTATAATGTCTACATCAATGTTACCTCAATTCCATAAGACAAATTTAGATCTAATGTTTGCTTTAAGCAATGGGCTGGACCAACAACATTTTGCTTTATCCCAAGTGATTGTAATAAATTTGTAAACTCAATGTATCATTAGTATAATCTCTGTGGATGTTGAAATCTTCTACAAATAGTATTTTATTAGTTTTAACTAGTAAGTCAGAAATTAAATCAGAAAACTCTTTTAGAAAATTGACAGTGTTCATGGGGTTCATATACAGTGATAAAAGCGAGAGATCAAACAGAACAAAGCATCCTGGAGATGTGGTCTGACAGGAGTTTAGTTCTAGCTCTACTGGAATGCAGACCATCAGCACAGAAGAGCCTAGGGAGTTCAGAGAAAACATTGCAGCTATTAGCAAAAAGTAACTTAGGTTCCCCAGCGGGAGGGGAACTTTAATGCTATTTGGAAAAACTTCCTCTATGGGGATTTCGCTAAAAACCAATCATCTAAAAGAGTAATAAAACGAGCCAATGAAATGCCAATGTATTGGCGGCGCCAGCGTACCCAGCGGGCAGCAATTACAATCATTTGTGTATAAAGATGCCAGCCACACAACGCTGAGTACCCTGTTTGCTTTCAGTGCCTCACGGTACTGAGAGAGTCTTCAGTTTTTCCAACATGCTTTGAGAAAGAAAGAGAGAGAGAAAGTGAACTAGAAAGCTGCCGGTGTTTGACAGGCTGTTTTCTCCCGGTCGCAGAGTGTGTGACAACAGAGTGGCAGATGGTCGAGCTGGATCCATTCTTCCGTCCCTGGGCGTTCTCTGGTCCCGTTCTTCTAAAGTGGTTTATATAAGAGCAAGTTTCCTAAAAGAGCAACACAGTCCCATCTTTTTCAGGATGTTGTTCCCTGTCCCTGGATGATGGGCACGAGCACTGTCCTGCATGTCTGGGGGTCCAACATATTAATGCGGTGCTTGCAGGCAGTGCATGCCATCATGCTATCACTACAATGGCATGTCTGTTGCGCAACTAAGATCGTGACTCACTCTTACAAAAGGGTGAACCACGCCTAATGCCCCCCTCAAGTCGGTTGTCACTCAGGCAGATCTGAGGGTTACAGTGGGGGTTAATCCGCTGCCTTCGGGCTCGCTGACTTTCCACTCCTCAGTGTGCTTTGCATGAGTGAAGTGCTCCCTCTAGGGTGGTGAGCGAGACGTTGAATCCAGAGGCAGATATGATAGCCATGCTTTCCTGGGCTGCTTCAGCTGTAGGTCTGGAGATGGTTTATCCCCCAGCCTCGTGGCCACACAGACTAGATGGGTGTTATGTGGAGTCTAAGAAGAAGGCCAAGCCTTTTAACCCCCCAGTCCCCTTCTACCTGGAAGTACACAGTGAGCTCATGCAGTCTTGGTGGGCACCTTTCTCTGCCCGAACTGCATGTGCTTCTGCTCTCACAACCCTGACGGTGGAGCAGCCAGGGGGCATGAGGTGATTCCCCAGCTTGAGCATGCCATTGCGGTCAATCTATGCCGACATGGCGCCTTTTTCTGGTGCAACCCCGTCCTCGACTGCTCTTAGCCGAGGGCACCTGCCTGCGGCTTGAAGATTCCGCCAAATACTTAATAAAATAACATTTTTCCCCTTCTACAAATGTGACAGCCGGGACACTGCCAGTCTGGAATGCAATGCCTTCTAGCTTGCAAGATCAGTGCACCTAGCCAGCAGCTCTGAGTTTGTTGAAGGATGGTCTCCCTTCTCACACACTCCCAGTCGTTCCCTCTTAGGGACCTTGGAGGAAGGTGAAAGCAAATCTTTTGCCTCTTGCTCTTCTGAGGGACCTCAATAATCCACGGCAGAGCCCTCCCACTCTGTGCTTCCCCACCACTAGTGCATCAATGATCATGCCAATAATGCCACTTGCGCAAGCTCTGCCAGTCTGGTTAGCGCTGCCCAGCGCGTTACAAAGGCTCATTCACATGATTAGATTCGGCTACTCAATTCAGTTTACCAAACGGCCTCCCAAGTTCACAAGTGTTTCCCAGGGTCAGTCCTGTGTTCACCCCTGTCCTGTGAGAGCAGATAGCTGTTCTCCTGGTGAAGGATGCAATCAAGCCGGTCTTTGCAGCCAAGATAAGAAGCGGGTTTTATAGTCCATACTTCATTGTGCCCAAAAGGAGTGATGGGCTTTGGCCAATCCTAGACCTGTGCAATTTGAACCATTTTCTTCAAGAGCAGCCGTTCAGAATGCTTACGCAGAGGTGCATCCTCTGGTGCATTCGTCCTCAGGATTAGTTTGCAGCACTAGACTTGAAGGATGCACACTTTCATGTCTCCATTCTTCCACACCACTGCCAGTTTCTGTGGCTTGCATTAGAAGGTCAAGCTTGGTAGTACAAAGTTCTTCCCTTCGGGCTCTCTCTGTTTCCACAAGTTTTTACCAAGCTTGTGGAGGGTGCCCTAGTGCCCCTTCGGCTTGCAGACATCCGCATACTTAATTATCCTGACAACTGGCTGATTTTAGCACACATACTGAATCAATTGATTATGTACAGGGACAGGGTGCTCCGACACCTCGACCTATTGGGGTTTCGGGTCATCCGAGAAAAGAGCAGGCTTGCCCCCATGCAGAGCGTCTGTTTTATCTGGTTGGAGCTGGACTCGATCACCTTGACAGCGCACCTCCCACAAAAGTTAATGCTGACATGTCTAAGAGAGTTTGACAGAAAAACTGTTGTTTCAATGAAATTATTTCAGAGGCTCCTGGGACCTATGGCATCCGCAGCCACTGTCACGCCACTCGGGATGCTTCATATGAGACTGCTTCAGCATTGGCTTCACGATTGGGTCCCCAGGCACGTAGGCACATATCGAGCACTGTCACGCCATACCTTCAGCCCTTGGTCGTACCCTGCATTTATACAGGCCAGAGTGCCTCTAGAACAAGTGTCCCAGCAGGTCGTTGTCTTGATGATTGCTTCCAGCAGCTGGGGGGCTATGTGTTGCGGGCATGCAGTTGCGGGTCCATGGAAAAGAACCTGGTTGCATTGGCATATCAATTGCCTGAAGCTGTTGGCAGTGTATCTCTCTCTGTGCCAATGCGCTCTCACGGAAGCTTCGACGCTCGGGTGAATAGAGGGTTCACTCTAAGTCTGTACAGCTGATATGCACTTTAGAGAAGCTCAGGTTGACCTGTTTGTTTCCTCAGAGAGCACCCATTGCCAGTGTTTTTTTTCTATGATCGAGGCCCCCGAACGAAATAATAAAAAAAGAAAATGTTATAATTCGGAGAGTGTGTATAAAATGTTAAAGATCTGGCCCAACTATCTCCCAAAAACAACATAAACACAGTAATTGTGGAAAAATTCATAGCTTTAAAATTGAGGTCTCTTTTAATAAAATCAAACATCAGGCAAAATCAAATAGTGACAGCCCAATCAGTGACACCCCAATCAGACAGAGGATAGATAGATAGATAGATAGATAGATAGATAGATAGATAGATAGATAGATAGATAGATAGATACTTTAGATAGATAGATACTTTAGATATTTAGATAGATAGATTATAATTTATAAAAGAGGTGGTTAATTTTCTTATCCCTTTTGGGAGACCGGACAGCTGTATTGTGTGTGGTATGTTCAATGTCTTAAGTTTTTATGGTATTTCATCACCTTGGAATTATGTTTCTATCTGCATTCTTAATCATTTTAAAATATTGAGCTTTAAATTTTTTGCATTCCATATAGCAAACAGTATGTGTAACATTTGTTTTTAAATAACATGTCTTAAAATGTAAACAACTTATAAAAAACATCCCATAATGTAAATAAGTTGTCATTTAATAAGAATATGTAAATAACTAAATTTTTACAAATGTGTCAGATAGAACCTTATAATTCTAAGGTGACGATTTGTTACTGTTTTTACTATATGTGATTCTTGTGTTGCATTATGCAATGAATGAGGACTCTTGACTAAAAACCAAATATACCTTTGTTACATATATTGTAACCTAACCATCTATTTCTGTTAAATCCTCAGGGTCCTTTTGTGCATATTGCCAGTATCTGTGCAGCAGTGCTGAGCAGGGTCATGTCAATCTTCACCGGTGTGTATGAGGTAAAAATCCCTGTGAGCTTGTTTGGTGTGTGTTGCAGAAGTGTGTGTTACTCTTCAGAAGCTGTTGACCTTAATTACTGATCTTAGATCAAGTTACAGCACATAAATTCCTACACCACACTATAACCATCAGGGGGTGTTTCATGTTTCTAAACCTCAGGTTAAGAATGAATATGAACTGCTTATTAGAACTTTACTTCCAATAATATTAGGTTGTTTGCATGTCTGTTTGTGTGTAATGTTCATGAATTCTAAGAAATTCTAAAGTACTAATTGCATAATCTTTTATTTTTATTCTCTCTACTCGTCCCTGTCTCATTATCTCTAACACCCTATTATTTTTGCCGTCTGTATTAATAGTGATGGCAATTTGGCATGTGTCTTGAATATGTGTCATGATGTTGTATTAACACCCCCCCCCCCCCCATTCCCCCGATTCACCTAGAATAGTGCCCATGTTCAGGATCTGCTGGTGTGTGCCTGTGCAGTGGGAGTGGCCACCTGTTTTGCTGCCCCAGTGGGAGGCAAGTCTAGCCCACTTTTACCAAGCATGCATTGCATTTTACCATGTTCATCTCTTTTAATTGCATTTATGCTTAGTTAATGTATGTATAAAGCTGGGATTTGAGTTTGCCTTTTGAACTCTGCTTTTTCTGATCTTTATTTATCTTTTCTTCTGTTTTATTTGTTCCCCCACAATGTACCCGCTGACATTGTAATTTGTTCTTCTCTTTACATTCTTTTGTTTTCCTCACCCTCTAACACACTCATTCTCCTGTTTGCTTTTACTTTAAACTCCCTCTTTCTCTCTCTTCTGTCTTGGTGTCAGTAGAACCCCTATGGTTACACAGACATACTGACAGTAGGATGTGCTGTTGGGGTGGGCTGCTGTTTTGGGACTCCCCTTGGAGGTAAAAATTTCCATTTCTTTCTTTCCCCATTGATTTCATTTCCTCTTCTGTCTCCTTCGGCTTGATGCCTGCTTAATAATTAACTTCATCATTACTTCACAGTTAAAAGCACCCATGTGTTATGAATTCTTATTCATAAAAAAATTATGATCATATTAACTACTGTTACTATTACTCACTTTTTTTGGTTTCTGAAGTATTTTCCACTAAAGATTTTAAAATCTTCATTAAAACATTTTAAAGGGCACCTATTTTAACTGTTTTTCAAGATTAAATACAAATCTTTTTTGTTTCCAGAGTGCTTCTGTAATGTTTTAGCTCAAAAATACCCATCGTATTATTTAGTATAACTTTCTGAATGTGGGAGATCTGATCTGTTAGAACACTGTAGCTGTTTTTGTTGCCTGTGCTTTTAATGCAAATGAGCTGGTTCTCCCCACTCATTGTTCACATTTGCATTTCAGAGCTATAAAGATCTCTCTCTATTGCTCTGATGCTTAAAAAAGAAAAAAAAGTATATATATATATATATATATATATATATATATATATATATATATTTATATATTGCATAATGAGAACAATAGCGTACATAAATTAGGGAATACAATATTTTTTATCATCAAAGGAACAAATCAATAAATGATAAAGACAAAAAATAAATAAAATTACAGGGCATTTATAAGAAATAAGAAATTTGCATTATAAAATTATTCTAAAGTTGCATACATCTTTATAGCTTTTATATTTCTAATACCCTTTAAGGTTTCGATATAATGCTTAAGATCAATTTTAAACAAGTAAATGTTAGGTTAATCACTGGACTATTCTTGTTAAGGTGTACATGATACTTCCCATATATAATCAATAAATTAATAAACTTTTTTTGTTTATTAACAAAATAATACAAAGTTTTTTATAATAATATTTATTATTATTATTATCATTATAATTGAGTGTTGGGGTAACGCATTACAAGTAACAAGTAAAGTAAACATACTTAAACTTAAGTAAGAATATTTGAGTTACGTTTTTGAGAATGTAACACTAGTTACGTTTTAGTTGAATTCATTAGCTTTTAAAAAAATTAATTGCTGAATTTAAATTTCAGTAGTCACAATGAATTAAGCAGTCAATGACAGAACGCAAGAAAAAGGAAAGAGAATTGTTTCAATCCACAGTGATTTTACTTAAGACAAGAAGTACAAAAGTAGCAATCACATTGATTTAAACTTTCAATAATATAAATACAGACATATAACTCTGGGTAAGGAAGTTTTCTGATAACATTATCCTAAAATATATTTTTTTATGTGTATTTTTTTAAGGTAAATGTAGGTGTAGGTTATATGGTGTGTTACTTATCACAAAGCCTCTCTATTAAAAAAGAAAGAAAGAAAAAACAAGTTCTAAAAAGAGATCAAGCCTCAGCCAGGTAGTGTAAAGTAACAAAAAAGAAACTCAAAAGTAACGTAATGCATTACTTACCATAAAAAACCAATTAACGCAACTAGCTTCTTTTTAGGTGAGTAACTATTGTAATGCATTACTTTTAAAAGTAACTTTCTCCAACACTGTAATTATTATTATTATTATTTTATGTCAAAAAAATCTTCACAAGATAACTGAATTTTAAATGTTGTAAGTTTAAATATAAGATTTTAAACATCAAACCAAAACATTTGTGTATGTTTGCATTGAAAGAACAAGTGTTTTTTTTTTTTTTTTGATCCCTCTTCTAATCCACAAAAGGTGCATGCAGATATAATGTCTCTAAAAATTTTTACTTGAACTTGTCAAAAACTTGTTTTACTGGATGAATTAAATTGATTAGTTTATATGTCACTTCTTTAACTTTATTGGTGAGACAGTATTTAGGTAAATTCCATTTTTTCCCCCGTTCAATCTGCTAAAAATATGGAATTCCAAAAAGGTTTGACGTGTGTAGTCTTCACCTTCTGTGTCTCGCGTAGATAAACAGCACAGTGAGCGACAAGTAAGAAGCAGATCTCACTTACTACAGTAAGAACTTTTCCAAAGGTTATTTGACTCTTTTGTTGTGGAGTTAATTCAAGTCTTTCTGCAGCGATGAGTCACACACAATGTTGTTACAAAGTTTGCGCATACACACACACACACTAGCACTGATTTTCCATGGCAAATAACAGGAAACTGTAATATACCCTGCTGTATGGAGATCCCTTATGTTAATGTAAAAAATAAACATGATTTAGGTCGGCGACGCAATGGCACAGTAGGTATTGCTGTCACCTCACACCAAGAAGGTCGCTGGGTCACTGGTTTTAGCCTCAGCTGGGTCAGTTGGTGTTTCTGTGTGGAGTTTGCATGTTCTCCCTGCGTTTGCATGGGTTTCGTCCGAGTGCTCCGGGTTCCCCCACAGTATAAAGACATGCGGTACAGGTGAATTGGGTAGGCAAAATTTTCCGTATTGTATGAGTATGTGTTTGTGTGAATGAGTGTGTGTGGATGTTTCCCAGAGATGGGTTGCGGCTTGAAGGGCATCCACTGTGTAAAAATGTGCTGGATAAGTTGGCGGTTCATTCTGCTGTGGCGACCCCGGATTAATAAAGGGACTAAGCTGAAAAGAAAATGAATGAATGAATGATTTAAGTCCACAAACCGGGATTGAAGCATATTCTGCAATTGTATTGAGATGCGGCTCCTGGTGATGAATTACACAGTGATTTTACTGACTTTCCTTTATTACAAACATGCAGTGTTTAAAAAAAAAGTAAACTTCTAAAACCCATTCTTGAGAATCAGATGATCACAGAGAGCTAAAGAGCTTTTTTAAGCCCAGTTGCTTTGTTTAAGTCCTGCCTTTGTTGATATCATTGTGCACGTTACAGTGCGAGGCATGTTGTTGCATGGTTTTCAATCAATTCGGTGGGCTATTTTAATGTCAGAAAAATAAAATAGAGACCTACTGTGTTTATATCACCCTAACAGGACTGTGGAGACACTATACGATGAAGTTTATTTTCTTCGTAGGTGCCCTTTAAAACTTGAACTTAATGAGCCAGCTATTTAAAAGTATTTGAAAATCTGACAAAGATGCGTTGGTGAATGCTGTAATGAGAGAAAAAATACAATCCCATTAGCCTTTAAGGCAGGGGTGTCCACACACAGTCCTGGAAGTCGAGTGTCTTGGAGAATTTAGTTCCAACCCTAATCAAACACACCTGAACAAGCTAATCAAGCTCTTACTTGGTATACTAGAATGTTTCAGGCAGGTGTGTTGAAGCAAGTTGGAGCTAAAGTCAGCAGGACACCGGCCCTCCAGGAGCGACTTTGGACACCCCTGCTTTAGGGTCTATTTATTTAATTTAAGGTCTATTACTGTTAATGGTGGTTTGTTTGTGCATACTGTCATTCCAGTTTATCTATTAAGTTTTTACTCTTGTTACCATTTTTTCTATTTTTAACTGTGTTTTCTCTCTAACTTTCTTTCTAAGCGTTAACTTTGTTTTTAATCTTTTTTTTTTTTATTCATGTTTTCTCTGTCTCTCAGGTGTGTTGTTCAGTATTGAGGTCACATCAACATACTTTGCTGTGAGGAATTACTGGAGAGGATATTTTGCTGCAACATTCAGTGCCTTTATATTTCGAGTACTGTCAGTATGGAACAAAGACTCTGGTGAGACACACATACACACACGCAGGTAGATATAATAATGATAAATGCATGAATTTCACAATATATGACGAGCTGTTCACTGCTGACTGATCATGATAAATGAAACACATTAAGCAACATTTTAGTCTGGACCTTGTTTTTGAGTGACCAAGTTGTTTCAAATATGCTGATGTAAAATTCTCTGTGTATTAGTTGTGAGATTTTTTAGTATCTTTTTTTGCAGGTTACATCATTAAAACAGTGGAAATAGGAATGAGTCTTTTTTATTTAGCAGTGAAACTCTTGTGCTGTGTGTTCAAGGTTCCCATGGACTGTTTGATGCATATCACTGTCTTCATGTTTATTTAGTCTTTCATTCAGTCTTCGGGTTTGAAATATCATGTTTGAATGTGTAGAACAACAGTGCTTTAATATGCATCAACATGGCTGATACATCTGTTTTTCCCCCACAGTCACAATAACAGCACTGTTTCGTACAAATTTCCGGATGGATTTTCCCTTTGACCTGCAGGAGCTGCCAGCTTTTGCAATAATCGGGTGTGTAGATTAGTGTGTGCCTACATGCATGAAAGTTTATTATGCATACTTGCACCCATGAAAAAAGCACTGTATGTAGCATTGGTTTGTTCTCTAGTTGATATGTTTCTAAATTGTGTGTGTATGTGTGCAGGATCTCATGTGGGTTTCTAGGGGCGTTCTTTGTCTATCTGAACAGACAAGTTGTTCTGATCATGAGGAGGCCGACAGCTCTAACACGCTTTCTCACAAAACAGCAAGTCATCAATTACATAAACCTACATATTGTATAATTAATAGTTTTAATTTAATTTAGTAAGTCATATTTACTTAGTATATAAGCATTATTTTGCTTATATTCTAAATGGTGTTTAAAATTATATCTATAACTTTACCAACATGATACTCACAGTGGTAATTTATTCTGCCTGTGTGTGTTTGCTGTAGCCGTCTGATTTACCCTGGTGCCGTGACACTAATTATAGCATCCTTCACATTTCCTCCTGGTTTTGGACAGTTCATGGCTGGAGAGGTGTGTATTCTCTTGCATGTAGAAGTAAATCTTAAACAATATCTATAAAGAAAGTTTTAATAAGCATAACTAATTTAGGAGTCTTTTATTTTCTTTCAACTTTTTTCAGGGGTATTTTTTCGGGGTATTTTTCCCCGACATTAGCCCCATTAAGAAATATTGTTTTTCAATTGGCTTCAGAACAAACCATTGTTATACTGTGAATTGTCTAAGTTAACCATAGTTTTTCATAGTTAAGTCTTTAAATTGTACTTTAGGCTGAATATGAGTTTCTTGAAAAATATCAAGTATAATATTATTTACTTTCAATATTGCAAAGATTAGTTATTAAAACTACTATGTTAAGGAAATGGTTAAAATAAATCTCTCTGTTATCAGCACTTAGAGAAAAATGTAAAAGAATTCAAATTTAACAGGAGGGCTAATCATTTTGACTGACACAGAAGCAGTAATTAATTCATTTTGATGTTCATCAAACCACTCTGTTACTAGTTTTGCTATGTGTATTTGTGCATTATTCTGATACATGGCACCGCCTTCAGGATATAATGTTTGAATCATTAAGTGCACATGGTCCTCCAGAATGATTCGGTAGGCCTTGGCATTGATGCACCCATCTAGCACAAGTATCATGGCATAGGGAATGCCATGATATTGCAGCCCAAACCATCACTTATCCACTGACATGCTTCGTCTGGACATGCAACAGTCTGAGTCATAGTGCTCAACCCTGTTCCTGGAGATCTACCTTCCTGCAGAGTTCAGCTCCAACCCCGATCAAACACACCTAAACCAACTAATTAGAATCTGAACAGTACTTGATAATTACAGGTGCAGGTGTGTTTGATATGAGTTACAACTGAAATCTGCAGGAAGGTAGATTTGCCACCAGGAAGGTTGCATGCCACCCAGAAGGCTATGCGTTTTTGCGGCTTCTCTACACAGTAACTCTCGCAGATGTAAGAAAAACAGTGAAGGTGGACTCATAAGAGAACAATACATGTTTCACATTGTCCACAGGCCAAGATTTTCACTGCCCGCAGTACATTAATGCTCTACATTAACACCCGCCACCCCGCCAAATGCGGGTTAGACACCTTTACTAGCCACTTTGGCTGGTTGGAAATCATTTTTAAATTGTAGTTTTCTTAAAAGCAGGGTTCGACAATAAGCATGGCCTATTATGTGCAAATGTGATCTTTGAATCGAGAAGCAGACTGACAAAAATATCTGTATTTAAATATAATATCTGCAAAAGAATGGTGAATACATGAGAGCATGATCACTCGTGCTAACAGCTGATGTGATGTGCGCGATTTTTAAAAAGCGCGCACCCGCTCTCGTTAACTTGCGCAAAGCAACCGTGCCTGGAGGAAGCGCAATGGGTGCGATTGGTTCCCTTTGAAATAGACAGGACAAAAAGCGATGATTGTGCACCCACAGTCCTGCTGCTTTCAAGAGCTCAAGATTTAAAAAAATACCCATATTCTTTTCTATGCAGTAGCAGTCACTGCTTTCATTTTAATTATTCCTAGAAGAGATTATTAGCAGGCCTATATTATATATGTGCATGGTATGTTTTGCCTGCTTTCTTTTGCTTACAGTTATTTTTGTTGGTATGGTTTAATTATAATTTTTTACAATACCATTGCTTTAATTGTGAGATTGCTCCCCGTTTATGTGTAGTTAACTAGTTATCTGGGACTGTTAGCCACAGATTACTGTGCATATTTTAGATACATGACAATAATTATTTTTTAATTGTAATGTTTTTTTTTTTTTTAAGTTTTGTTGAATTAAAAAGTGCACATATAAATCTATTTTTCCCTTGTTTTTACACATTAAAAATGGGTGTGGTCAGAGATAAATTTGGTAAATCCCTAATTTTGAGCCCTGAAAATTCGTGAAATAAAAACTGAATGCATTGTGACACAACCCATTTGCTCATCCACACTGAGCAAGCCAATACATACTGTAATACACACGAGAAGTTAAACGAATGAGAAGGCATGTGGACATAACACAATATCTAAATCAAGTAATTTAGCATGTCAAAGTCAAATTTAAGCAAAATATATTTTCAAAACAAGAAAAGTGTGGCTAGTGAAAACGGCGAGTGGCTAGTAATGTTGGAAATCTACTAGCCACAGCGGCTGGTGATCAAAAAAGTTAATGTCAAGCGATGTATTGCGATATTGCGTTTATACAACAGTTTGACATATATGATGATATATACACACACACACACACACACACACACACACACACACAGTTGAAGTCAGAATTATTAGCCCCCATTTGATTTTTGATTTTTTTTTTGCTTTTTTAAATATTTTCCAAATTATGTTTAACAGAGCAAGGAAATTTTCACAGCATGGCTGATAATGTTTTTTTCTTCTGGAGAAAGGCTTATTTGTTTTATTTCGGCTAGAGTAAAAGCAGTTATTAAATTTTTAAACACCATTTTAAGGACAAAATTGTTAGCCTCTTAAAGCTATTTTTTTGACTGTCTACAGAACAAACTGTCATTATACAATAACTTGCATAATTACCCTAACCTGCCTAGTTAACCTAATAACCCAGTTAAACATTTAAAAGTTACCTTAAGCTGTATAGAAGTGTCTTGAAAAATATCTAATAAAATATTATTTACAGTCATCATGGCAAAGATAAAAAATCAGTTATTAGAAATGAGTAATTAAAACTATTATTATTAGAAATGTGTTGAAAAAAATCTTCTCTCTGTTAAACAGAAATTGGGGAACAAATAAACATTCATTCAGGGCAGCTAATAATTCTGACTTTAACTATACATACACACATATATACAGGGTGGGCCATTTAACGTCCTGTTTGTGGAACATTAGTATATGTGAAGGGGCAAACTTTTCAAGACGGGTGGTGACCCTGGTGGCCTTTTGGTTTTATGGTAACTTTATTCTTTCAGCTGGACAAGGGTGGGAATTACAGTTAGCTACAAATTACAATAGATCACCCTCAGCATAGTCCTTGAAAAAGGGTCAAAATGACAGATAACTTTTAGATTTTTTCGTCACTGCCGAAAAAAATCCATCAATGACGGAAAACATTCAGTTAACGCGACTTCTGATATATACATATATATGTGAATGATGAGTTCAGATGCAAAAGCCGCTAAATGTGATTTCCGCCAACAATGAGATAATGACATGAAGTGAATGCTTTAGACACCTACTACACCATCAACAAATAGATTTGCTTCAATTCATCCAAATCCCAGCATCAGCGCATTCAGAAGTAACAGTTTGTTGGCAAAAGCCACTAAACGCTGTCCATAGATATATACTGGGTGCTCCAATTTCCCCCACAGTCCAAAGATATGGGGAATTGGGTAGGCTAAATTGTCCGTAGTGTATGAGTGTGAATGAGTATGTATGGATGTTTCCCAGAATTGGGTTGCAGCTGGAAGGGCATCCGCTGCGTAAAACATATGGTGGATAAATTGCTGGTTCATTCCGCTGTGGCTACCCCTGATGAATAAAGGGACTAAGCCGAAAAGAAAATGAATGATTGAATGAATAAATATTGTGTTTTAGTCATCAAACCAAATCTTCTCAATACCACAACGATCTTGTATATCTTTCATAACAATGATTGGAATGAAGTTATGTGCCACTACAATCAAATCAAGGGATTGTGGTGTTAAAACGATGATCAGTTTACAGTTTTGTTGTCAGAGATATGAAAATCTACACTTAGGATTTAAATGTACACTTAAATGTACACTTTTACTTATCAACTTAAAATTGTAAGGCAACTTGCTGCTGACCTTTTTACATTAACTCGACTTACTGTAAATCAAGTCAAGTGCAGTATTGGGGTTAAAAGATGAGTCAACTCAAAGAAAAACAAACTGCAGCAAGTTGCCTTACAATTTTAAGTTGAGTCAACTTTTTTTTTACAGTGTATTTGGTACTGTAAATAAATGTAAATTGATTTTCCCACTATTCCCCTCCATGTTTTTATGTTATTTTGTTAACACTACTATGTTACAGTATGTTCATTTCAGTTACGTGCATACAGTTTAATTTAACATCTGTTTTAATAAACAACGTTTATTAAAATGTTATTGCATGTTTAACCATGTTGGTGAGTAGTAGTTATCGGAATGGCACTATGTGCCTTCTACATATGACTCGGTTTTTCTTCAATGGAAAAGCTGTTTTATGATGATTTTCTCATCACCACCTGCTTTTGGTGGTGTTATTTTATTTGAATTAAAAAGGTACAATGTAGATATTATTACTTTAGATGGTTGGTGTATTAACATTGATTAATGTAATGCAATATGGTTGTTTACTATAAATTTAGAAATATTAGTACCTTATATTTAACAGCACATTTGTCATGGCAATCATGGCTGCTATTTTTACAGTATTATTTTTTACACAGCTGATGCCCAGAGAGTGCATTAATTCACTATTTGATAACTACACTTGGACAAAGATCTGGGGTTCACCAGTCCCACCTGGATTGGGTCGATCTGCTGCCTGGCTTCACCCACAAGTCAGCGTCTTTGTCATCCTTCTCCTCTTCTTTGTCATGAAGGTGATCATTTTTTTAAATAAACTTTGGAATTACTGCACACTATGAATTATTTATTTAGTATTAGCAAATAATCAATTCATTATTTGTAATCATTTAATCGACCATCAAGTATTAACTCTAATTGACATCAGTACACAGTATGTAAAATTTGTAAGCACATGTTTTTTAATGATTAATTTTTAGTAATAAATTATTTCAATATTTACAAAGCATACAGCATTTGTAGCTTTAGTTATAAACTGCTCACTAATGTCTGTTAATGTAGAATTAATGCTTTATAACTGATTAACTATATTCTAATACTTTATAAATTAGTCAGTGTGCAATTATTATACAATGTAACTTTTACTTTTCCTCTCTTGTTCACACATAGTTCTGGATGTCTGCAGTCTCTACAACAATGCCAGTTCCTTCTGGAGCTTTCATGCCTGTTTTTATATTGGGTCAGTTAAAAAAATTCATTTTTTCCATTTAATTTAATTTTTTGAAAAGTAGCAATTAATTTTACTCACTAATGGACACAATTAATTTGCAACTTAATATTCTTACATGCAATACCTTTAAAGACTTAAATAATAAAAGGCCAGTAAATTTGTCATTATTTGTTCACCATTTACTTGTTCCAAACCTGTTTGAGTTTTTTTTTTTTTTTTTTTTTATTCTGTTGAACACAAAGGGGGATATTTTGAAGAAAGCTTAATATCTGTATACCATTCACTTCAGTTGACTTGTTTTTCCTCAAAATATCTTTTTTTTGTGTTCAATAGAATAAAGAAAACTCACTGGTTCAAATGTAATCATACATTCATTTATTTTCTTGTCGGCTTAGTTCCTTAATTAATCCGGGGTCGCCAAAGAGGAATAAACCGCAAACTTATCCAGCACGTTTTTTAAGCCCTTCCAGTCGCAACTCATCTCTGGGAAACATCCATCCATACACACGCACTCATACACTACCGACAATTTAGCTTACCCAATTGACCTGTACCGCATTATGTATTATTTAGGGGATCTTAAACAACCATGCCTTGTTGTATTTCAAGATGACACCTGCCTCAAATTTTAAAACTGGCTTTTAGTTGGCTTAATTTTGTCACACAAAATTGAATGTGTTTGTGATGGCTTTTAAAAGGTGCTAGCATTATAAAGTAAGCTTTACAAAATAGATGATTATAAATAAAAAGATAAAATAATTGCATGATTGATAATTGATTGCAATAATATGATAAGATTTTTGAAACAAACAGGAGCGGCATTCGGTCGTTTGGTGGGTGAGATCATGGCTACACTTTTCCCCAATGGAATTCTGTTTGATGGAATTGTCTATCAAATCCTTCCTGGAGGCTATGCAGTGATAGGTCTGCAAATATTCTACCTTCAAGCTAATCCTTTACCCTGTTCTTTTGTTTTTATAATTTTATACTTTCATTTGCTTTCTCTTTTATTTTATCAACATTTAACCCACTTTTGTTTGTGTAGGGGCAGCAGCTATGACAGGAGCAGTCACACATACAGTTTCAACAGCAGTGATCTGTTTCGAACTGACAGGCCAAATCTCACACATCCTACCCATGATGGTGGCAGTGATTCTCGCCAACATGGTAGCCCAGGGTTTACAGCCTTCTCTTTATGACTCCATCATTCAGGTCAAAAAGCTGCCATATCTTCCAGAGCTCGGCATCGGTCACATCAGGTACCATAAGCAGAGATATGGAAACTGACATATAAATATAAAATATTGGATTTGAATTAGTGGTAGTGGCTCTCACCTTCAAGCTCTTCAAGCTATATCATTTTCTTTGGGGTTTGTTTGATGATTTTGCTCTTTGTGTCCAAAACAAGGAGAATGCCAAAAATGATGGACAGACACTATTAAGCTTTTGACATTTCTCTCTTGTTTTTCTATGACAGTAAATATAATATCTTTGTGGAGGACATCATGGTGAAGAAAATAAAGTTTCTGTCACCTCAGTCTACTTACAGAGAGCTGAAAGATCTCCTGGAGTCCACGTCTCTTAAAACCATCCCGCTCATTGATTCCAAAGGTATGTATTGTGTGATCAATCTACTTTTTATTTCATAGTGCACAGTTTATTTTAGATTCTTTTCAGACTATGTGTTCTATTCAGTATAATGAAACAAAACATTGCATGAAAAAGTATGATTACTCAAACATACAAAATTTGTTTTACAATCATTCATACATATTTGTGATAAAATTAAAGTCACAATTATTATAATTCATGTATTCATTCATTTGTTTTCTTTTCCATACAAATTCATTCACACTCATACATTACGGACAATTTAGCCTATCCAATTTACCTGCACCGCATGTCTTTGGACCGTGGGGGTAACCGGAGCACCCTGAGAAAACCCACGCGAACATGGGGAGAACATGCTCCGAACAAACTCCACACAGAAACAGCAACTGACCCAGCCAAGGCTCGAACCAGCGACCTTTTTGCTGTGAGGCAATAGTAATACAGACTGCGCCACCGCGTCGCCATTATTATAATTAGTACAAAAAATCAAGTAAACATAATAAAGTTTATTGTGTGTGCCATGTTTGATAATTAGTAGTCAAAATGTGCATACTGTAGGTAAATTCTGTATTATTATCCATTAAATATATTGTAATTTGGAGAAATAGCCACAAGTATTAGTTGAATTTCAACATATAAATTACACTGTGAGATATACACCACCCGACAAAAGTCTTGTAGTCAATCCCTGCTGTAAGAGTAACAAATAACTTTTTGTTGATCATTTGGAAAATTGGCAGAAGGTAGATTTTGGCAGAAGGTTGCCAGCCCAGTCACAGATAAAAACATTATTGAGCATGTCTGGGTTAAGATGAAGGAGCAGGCATTGAAGATGAATCCAAAGAATCTTGATGAATTCTGGGAGACCTACAAGAACACTTTCTTTGCCAGTCTAGATGACTTTATTTTTAAGTTATTTGAGTCATTGCAGAGATGCATGGATGCAGTCCTCCAAGTTTAAGGGAGTATATTGTTTAAGTGTCAAGACTTTTGTCTAAGCAAAGTCAGATCTTATATGTCCTAATTAAATAATTAAAACTCAAGGCATAATCATATTATATTTTGGTAAAATGAGCCTAATCTAGAGGCTTTTGCCTTTCATATAAGCCACTTATAATGCCAAATGATCAACTAGAAGTCAAGTAATTTGTTGTCCCTAAAACTTGGATAGGTGACAAGACGTTGTCAGGTAGTGTAGAGTCACCATCACAAGAAATGAACAATTATGAAAAACAAAATCGAAGCCCAATTTTGCCACATAGTAAAACCTTATTAAGAGATAAAATAAAGTCACATTATGAGAATTTTTTTAAATGTTACAATTATGAAAAAGAAAGCGATTACAAGACTGACAAAATTAAAGAACCCCTATTGTGCATTATGAAAAGTAACATTTTGGTTTTGTGGGTCCGCAACAGCATATGATATCAGATTATTGTCTTATAATATGCATTTATTTTTACCTAATTATCCCAAAGACTCTCATGCAATGTATTCATTGATTTGTTTGTTGCAAACCCCTCCTGTGCATGAGGCTAAACTGTGGTGATTAGTCTGATGACCCAGTGTGTTGTGAGATCTTTGCTGCACAATAGCAATTACATGTTGGTTTTATCCCTCTGAGGTTTCTTTAACTAGTTCTGATCCCCACCGGTCACCGGTCATTCAAACAAAACACCTGGTCTTAAGTTTAACTGTAATAACATGCAGTAACATCCCAGTGTTGGGACATAGCCTGTCTTATTTACTGCTAACGTGTATAGCCACTACAAGCAGTGTTTGATATTTCGATTGGTTACTCAAAAGTCTTGTTCAGGCACATGTGATTTTTAAAAAAAAAAATTTTGGAACTTATTTCAGCTACATTATTTTTTCTATAACCTACATACCACACATATTTTTTTCTAAAAAAATGCAAGCATGCACATCAATATTCTCACATAATCTCACATATTATTGTTGCACAGTTTGTGCTGAATACAATAAATAAATAAATAAATACACGTTGGCCAATACTATGTAAAAAGTAGCTGAAATAAGCACAAATGTCAGGACATGTTAAAACATCTCAGAGGCCCCAAAATCACATCAGACCCCTGAGGGTTAGACTGTTAGATGGCCTGTTCCCATTCAAAATACACCAGAGTTACCAACCGCTACTGCGTTGTATTTGAAAATTTATTCCCACGCTGCAAAAATTGAACCGTGAGAATGCAGACCTCTACACTGAAACAAAACAAATGTGTCGAAGCTTCGAAAAGTTTCAGAACCTGTCTCTACAGTGACACAGAGTGGTCATTTTTATGCATTGCTTTGGAACAGCTTCAGCAAAGAAACAGTTAAGCAAACTGAGGTATTGCATCCCACATTGTAGAGTTGAGGTTTCAAGTGCTTTATTGAAGAGGTAAAAGTTCCTGACTAGAATGCAGATACCTGTATAATGGGTTCAAATCCAGGGTGATGCAGATTTAGATAATAGTTTTTAATGCACTGTTCTTGTAACGTGTTTTGTTTTAAAATTGGTCTGACATCCAAATAAACACATCAATAAGTATGTCTTGTTTTGGTCATAAAAATTAACAGTATTAAAATACATCAATTTCAGAGTTTCAAGTCGAGATTTAAACTCGGGCCACTTGCAGCACAGTTACTTTGTGCAATAGGCTACATTTTTTTTTCAGTCAATTGCAGATTTGCCAGGTCTTCAAACATTTCTAAAATGACAGATGTTTTGAATCGCTTTAGTCAAGTGACCTGGGGCCTCATGTACAAAGACTTGCGTTGAAATCATACTAAAACATTGCGTACGCAGAAAGCTGTAAATGTGCGTACGGAGTAAAAAATTCAGATGTATGAATAGCTGCATGTGCCGAATCACACGCATATTGTCATTGAACATGCAAATGAACTTTAAATTGAGTGCACGTGCACGAGCGCAAAACCCCTCCTTGCCACCTCCCCCTAATGAATATGGTAATGACTCTACTTTGGCAAAACCCAACGAAAAAGCAATAGCAAAAGCAAGCAAAAAGAGAAACTAGTAAAAGAATGTGATTTGGAGATGCTGCTTTCGGAGGTATACTGGAGAAAAACTGTGTTATTTGCAAGTTGTTTCCTCTGGAATTAATAACAAAAGAAAAAAATAGAGTGGGACAGTTTAGCTGATGCGCTTAACACAGTAGGATCTGAACATTGAGTGGATTAAAAAAGAAATAGTGCGATGTAAACCTGTAAAAATTTTTTTGTGTCATTTACAGCGTGAGTGGCGTAGCTCGTAAAACACATAGCATCATGTTTTGACACGTTCAAGCATAAACTCGGTTCGAATCAAGCGTCTGATGAACTCATTCTTCTTTTTTTCCCCCGCTACATATCAGATTTTGCCTATACTCTTCATCACGAGGAAGACAAGTAGGAATCATTAATAATCATCATATTTTATTTGCACATTTATTGAATGGAAATGTTTTTGATTCACGTATGCAAATTCGTCTACAGAGTGCCTTTAAAGCAATGTGTGTGCAGTAGATCGCTCAGATTACATTGGGAAAACGGCGACCGCTGCAAATTGCGATTTAATGTTTGCCTGATCAACTGCATGGTATGGAAACCTTATATACCTGCTAGACATACGGATGAACCCGTCTCATACAGCTGCCATTGCACGGCTCAACGACACTTTGTAAAGTGTAATTTAACACAACTGTCTCTAGGAGTCGACAATAAAAATAAAACAGACAGGAAATGTGCGTACGCCAGGCATTAAGTTGGCGTGGACCTGCGCGCATTCCCACGTTCATTTCATTATTAGTAAATCCAAACGTAAGCATGAAACCTGGCTTACGCAACGTTGATACATGAGGCCCCTGGTATTTCAGAACACTGTAGTGACATGACCTGGGTATTTCGAAGATCCTTTGTCACCTGACCTGGGTGTTTCGGATCATTCTTCGGTGCAGTGAATACTGTGCTTTGAGGACGTCTGTATTCACATCAGCCATCTCTTTTTTTTTGTAAAAAGAGTGGGAACCCTTCTCATAGTGTTTATTCAATCTTTTGTCCTCGGATATGGAAACATTCAGTTGCTAAAACAATATCAAATTTCTCCCCATGCCCAGATACAATGATTCTGTTGGGTTCCATTGAAAGATGTGAACTTCAGGCTGCTCTTGATTGGTGGCTGTCAGCTGAGAGGCGGGTTTATAACCGAGGTGAAGGCATGGCCAGCCTAGTGTCGGAGGGCAGCTGGGAGTCCTTTGTCTTTGTGGATGAGGAGGTTGGAGAGGAGAATAGAGACAAGGTTAGTACATCTTCAAATGTATTCACACACACACACACACACACACACACACACACACACACACACACACACACACACACACACACACACACACACACACACACATTGCACACCCCATTGTTTGTAGACAATGTTCTAATTTTTTGTTTTGCTCAAGGGTTTATGTAAAATTCTCAGATTTGACAGCAATAAGCTAAGATCTATCTGGCAAATATATGTTCTCTACTTAGAATTAAGCAAATTACTTGTACTTCTCTCAGACTTTTATTGAAATTATTTACAGGGTAACCGAGTCTCTGAAGAGTGTAATGGCCCAGTAGGGTCATCTAAAACCACAGACATCTCCACTAATCACACCACATCTGGTGAGTTTTTCTGTATTTATATTAGTACTTATATTTATAATGAGTTCTTAAAGGGCACCTATTATAAAAATGGACTTTTGGAAGCTGTGTGGACAGAACCGTGTGTAAGTGTGTCCACAGTCATATTGGAGTGATATAAACACAACAAGTCTCTTTTTTTATTTTCTTCAAAATAGGATCCAAATGAATTAGGAGGGCTGTTTTCCCTGCCCACCAAACTGATTGACAGCCGCGTATTAACTTGTCTTCATAAAATGTACAGTATAAGGATATCCACAAGATAGGACTTGCACAAAGCAACTAAGATTAAAAGATCTGTTCCACTCTCTGTGATCATATATACGTCAAGAATGAATTTCCAAGTTTAAAACATTTTTAAAACAGTGCATGTTTGTAATAAAGTCAGTAAAATCGAATTGTATTTTATCACCACAGCTGAATGTCAGTACAATTATAAAAGATGACACTTCAATCATGGTTTGTGGATAGTAAATTAGGTTTATTTTGTACATTAATGCAACCGATATTTATACAGCAGTGAATATCAGTGTGTATCCTGTCACATTTCTCGTGCAAAAACAGTGCAAAGTTAAATGCACGTTGTGTGTATGTATGTGTGTGTGCGCATGTGTGCGGGCATGCATGCATGCATTTGTGATTTACGAATGATCGTCAGACCACGGGGAAATGATCTGGTGCTCCCTACGGCCAGTCCACCCTTGACTGTGCTGTTTATCTTAAATCTTGAAAAATGGGTAAAATAGGTGCCCTTTAAAGTTTCTAGATAATCTGCATCCAAATCTACACCAACTTAACATAGAATGTATTCACACAACCAGTTTAAGCCCCTTCTTACCAGTCAAATGTTTATCAATAGAGGTTTGTGATATTTCACTGGGTTATTTAAGCTTATTTATAAGTTCTTTCAATCTTAACAGGAGCCTTAAAGTCCATGAGGAGGACTTTTCAACGTCTTTTCTCTTCATCTTCTTCATCAGGGCAAACTAAGCCTGAGGTGTGTGCTTTAACATTATTGTCACTTAAACATAGTAGAACAGCACAATTTAGAGATGTGCCACTTACTGAAGATAAGGGTGGAGTTAATATGGATGAATCATTTTAAAGCAACGAATTGGAATGAATAGGACTTCTACTGATCAAAATTGTATCCCTAATTTTGTATAGATAAACAAAGTGGTATACACTAATGTGGTAAAAATTTTAATGCAATTGAGATTTAATGGATTTAATTTGGTTGTACACACAGATAAAATGATTTTAAATTTTTATTTACATTTCTGTGTGGAGTTTGCATATTGGGTGTCCCCAGTTCTGGGTTATGGCTGGAAGGGCATCTGCTGCATAAAACATATGCCAGAGTGGTTGGTGGTTTATTCCACTGTAGCAACCCCTGATAATCAGGGACTAAGCTGAATGAATGAATGAATGAATGAATGAATGAATGAATGAATGAATGAATGAATGAATGAAGGAAGGAAGGAAGGAAGGAAGGAAGGAACGAACGAACGAACGAACGAACGAACGAACGAACGAATTGTCCCCCAGCTCTGCTGCCAGACCAATTAGATGGGTGTGATGTTGAGGATAAGAAGGCCAAACCCTCTAAGCCTCATGTCCCCTTCTTCTTGGAGGTGCACAGTAAGTTCACGCAGTGCCGAGGGCACCTTTTTTGTCAGGTCTGCGTTCACTTCCACCTCACCTATCTAAATGACAGAGCACTTCAACCGACTTTGCTCTGAAAACACCAGGTCGGCTGTGAGTGCCCTGGAAGGACAATGACCACACTAGTGGTCCAGGAACGCCACCTCTGGCTAAACCTGGCAGATATGCGTGACGTTGACAGTTTGCTTTCCTATCTTAACACACCCATATCCCAGGCTGGCCTGTTTGGCGACACCGTAGGTGAGATCACCCAGGAAATCACAACGGGGAAAAAGCAGTCAAGTGCAATTGGTTTCAAAAACTGCTCTCCTCGTCGAACCATCGACTTTGGCTGCTCTTCGCCAAGAGTGCTCGTCTGTGGCTCCAAACACCGCCAAGTCTGGCATGGACTACAAAGCATCTAATATAGACATTGTTGATTTGGAGGAATTTTGAGTTTAGTCAGTCACATATGAAAATACTGTGTGTTATGTTGAGAATTGGGACGATGCTGTTTGATGGTATTTATTTTATCTCTGATATTAACAGTTTTGTTGAGAAATGCTTGCTGATGTTTTATTTTTAGTTAGGTTCAACAGGACCCTAGAATTGGCATTGTCATTTCATTGGCCCGATTTATCTCTCTTCAGATAATTGGCTTTCTGGCGAAATCCCCATAGCATTTCCCTGTTGTGACATTGCAGAAGTACATCAAAACAATTTTACAGTAAATGACAAAACAAATATAAATAGTAGGCTATGTTCTCACCACAGCAGACATTTTGCTTTTAGAAGCTGTTCATCATTTAAAAAAAATAAGAAAGTGCATACACAAAATAAAAAAAATATTAAAAACGGGATCTAGTACTGTATCTGCCTAACCAGTTACTTAGTTGCTTTAAATGATAGATATTTAATTTTCACACAACAACCATATTTCATAGTGTCTACTATTAACTGCTTTTCTTTTAATTATTTTCTTCATGATAAATAATTTCTTTATCAATTTGTATCTATTGCTGTAAATAATACATTGATTGTAGACAGAGACTAATCTGGCATTTTTACCATTTTACATCTTACACACAGAATTTTTTTTTTTCTGTTATTCAGTTTACTAAGCTCTCACCAGCAGGTGGTGTCAAGGTGATACATTTCAATTTGTTTTGGAGTTTGCACTGTAAATTATGGCATTATTCTCTTAAAATGTGCATACTACTTTTGAATCTATAACTCTGTGTTTTTCTTTTTGTAGAGTCCTGCAGCTCCACCTGTAGTTGATAACATGACCCCTGAAGAGGTAGAGTGATGAACTGATTTATTTCCACTGCAGTTCATACAGACAGACATAAGCACACAATCCAGAGCGTTCTGTTGTCAATCACTCGCAGTGACTTCATGATCCTGATTATGTTGTATTTGGGGTGTTCAGATCAAAGCCTGGGAAGAGAAAGAGCTGGATAAGCCGATTGGCATTGATCAGATCCGTGTTGACCCGTCACCTTTTCAGCTGGTGGAAAGAACATCTTTGCATAAGGTAATCCACAATCAGATTAACGTCACATATGAAAATACTGTGTGTTATATTGAGGATTTATGTCTTCCAAAAAGAATCATGAATTAGTCTTTTGTATTTATTATTATCTCTATCTGAATGTCAGTCCAAAGCTATTACTATTCTATCCTCTGCGGGAAATATCTTTTTTGAATAATAATAATAATAATAATAATAATAATAATAATAATAATAATAATAATAATAATAATAATAATAATAATAATAATTATATATAGCTAATTTTATATATTTTTTCCTTTTTATTTATTGTTAGCTACATATTCCTTTTTAGTCAAATTTGATCTAACAGTTAAAGGTGCAGTAGATGATTGTCTTCAGAAACATTTTTGAAGAATGTTAAAAATCTCTTCACATTTCAATAGTACAGACTAAAGTAAATGATCTAAATGTATTTATATGTATTTTTATAATATGGGTACACTGTTAACCCTTACTGTAGATTATGCAGTAAATAACAGTAAAATAGCCAGTGTTTAGTTGTAATAAAAGGAAACAGTATTTTACTGTAAAAGGAGCAGGATTTGTATGAAATTCTGTAGTACAAAGAATAAATTACAGTAATTTACTCTATGTACCATTACAGATATTTACTGTGATAATAAATGGTAAATTACTGTTCAACCATTACTGCCCTATCTACTCTCATGCTTTATGTTGCTATTTTATATTTATTTTATCTCTGTGTTTTCTTTGGTTCCTTTTATGTTTTTAACATTGAGTATCAGGAGTCAACCAATGCCACAAAAATATTCACACAGAGCAAAGAAATTGTCACAATAATTTTTATAACTTTGTTTACTTTTTCTATAATTAATCTAATTTAATTGCCTAGTTTGACCTATAGTTAAGATTTTAAATTGCACTTTCAACAGAATATTAGTATTTTGCTAAATAACTAGTAAAAATGTGTTATTAAAAAAATATATATATATCTTAAACAACACGCACATACATTTTTGCAGAGACTCAATGAATTTGTCTGGAAAACTGGCAAGTAAAAGTGCCATTAACAGTATAAAGGCTTTCCTAAATAAATGTATAAATCATGATCTTTGTTGTGTTTTTTATTATTTTTTACTACAGATTTGGAACGACATAAGAATCAGATTATTTATTTATTTATTTTTTTCTATGGATGAAGTTTATATTATTGTATATTTTTATTGTTTTTATTAAACGATATGTGCATAACTGTGATAAATGTAGGCAGTTGCTTTGAAAATATGCTATGTACCAGGGTTGTCAAACTCCTGGAAAGCCACAGCCTAGTAGAATTTAGTTCCAGCCCTGCTTCAACACACTACCTTTAGATTTAGTTTAATCAGGTGTGTTTAATTAGTATAACTGCACTGTTACTCTGTAGATTGTGCAGTAAATAACTGTAAAAAAAAATGATTTAGGCATCACCACACACTCCCACAGGCTGTCCGTCTTATTCTAAACACAAAGGTGTTAGAAAGAGTTTTCAGAAAATGCTGGCCCTTTAAGAGAGCCAGGTGTTTGATTTGTTTACTGCTGAATGTGCTCTATTCTCTGTCCATCAATTCAGATGTTGAGTCTGATGTGTTTTAGGCTTAAATAAGAATCTTAAATGAGTAAGTAAAATGTGTTCAAATGTTTTTGAGGGTTTCTAAAATAAGGCTGTGTTTTAAGTTATATTGTTGTTATCTTGAACTGTGTACTTGAAAGCTACATTGTTAGCTAGTTAGCCTCTCCTCGTATAACTTCTTACATTACTTTTGTTTAAGTATATGTATTTATTTTATATTGCACACTGCCATAATGTACAGATGATAACAGTTGTGTGTATCTTTCTGGCAACTAAGCCAAAATTAAATTCCATCATCTCAGTAAGATAACATGTGCACATCATCACAGGGAATCACAAAAACATGATACACATAGCCATCCACGCACAAAAGCTCCACTGTCCGGTCCCAGGTTGTGAGTTTATTGCTAAGTATTTTTCAGAGCAGTGTTTCCATCTATGAATTTATATTTGAAACAATAAAAAAGTTTGTTGTCATGAGATAATTATAACAATAAAAGATTGGATCCTTTGGTTTTTCGGTGTTGCCAACTTTATTTTTGTTTTCTATAATTATTTTAAACTTTTTGAGAATTGACACAGTTTTTAATTATTTAAAACTTTAAAATTTAAAATAATTATTTTGTTTTTTGCTGTTCAGTTTTTTTTTTTTTTTTGCATGGTCAGCATTGAGGAGAGAGTAACACATTTCACTGCAGCAGTTTGTGTGTGTGTGCGTGTTTATTGGATATGTGATTGTGATAAATGTTAGCAGTTGCTTTAAAAGTATGCTATATACCAGGGGTGCTTAATCCTGTTCCTGGAGATCTACCTTTCTGCAGATTTCAGTTGCTATCCATATCAAACACACCTAAACCAATTAATTAGGACCTGAACACCACGTGATAATTACAGGCAGGTGTGTTTGATATGGGTAGCAACTGAAATCTGCAGGAACGTAGATCTCCAGGAACAGGATTAAGCACCCCTGCTATATACCATGGGGGTCAAACTCCAAGTTCCTGGAGAACTGCAGGACAGCAGAGTTTAGTTCCCACCCTTCTTTAACATTACCTGTAGATTTCTAACGAGCCTTAATTAGTTTTATCAGGTGTGTTTAATTAGAGTTACAGCTTAAAGTCCCGGTCACACTGCACTTTTCTCCCTTTAGACTTCCATTCATATGCATGTGAATGCTACAGACCTGGAATGCATGCTCATGAGACAAATTTTACAGTTTGCAGCATTGGAAAGTTCAAGCTTGGAGAACTCTGAACTGTGAAATCACATCATGTGATTGCTTGAGACTAATCAAAGATCAAACCATGACCTCTCTGAACAAAAATTATGGACCAGTTGCTTGCTTTTTCAATCTCTAAATATTTTGTTTAATCCCACTCCTTTTCGCAGAGCCATATGACAGAATTTTGCATGCTTAAACGTTAGTTTGACTGCAGCCTTGCTGTGCAGACCTGGGGCTCTCAGTAATATGTAAGATGATATTTATATCTGCTGATTTCTTAATTTTGGTTTACGTTTTCTGTTTTATATGTGTTTGCTGCCAAAACAATAAAATAAATTTGTCAGAATTTACAACTTAATTAATTTAAAGAATTAATAAAAGGCAAGAATACTAATTAATTTTAGTAACACCTTGACATACTATTGTGTATGCAGTATAATGCTGTGAGTTGTAACACTACAGTACAGTAATTAACTGTACACAGTTTCCAGTTAGTTACCACTACTGCTCTATTACAGTGATTAACTGGCAACACTGTTGCCAGCCACTCACTGTAATGGTTCAGTTTCAGTAATTAACTGGCAACACTGTTGCCAGTTACTTACTGTAACCAAACTTTTACAGTGAGTATAGCTGGCAACAGTGTTGCCAGTGTTCTACTGTAAAAAAGCCTGGTAAGGTCTAACAGTGTAAGACATAAAACAAAACAAAAAAGTTCATATAATTAAAAATCATCGGGCCAACAAATAACTTAATTACGACAGGTAACGCAAACTGTCTTTCAACAAATTTAAGTTTCTGCGCAGCCTGTCACGTAGATAGATATGTCACTCGTATGTTCACGTGAAGCACAGATCTACAGCTGAGTAAGTGACATCATGTAAACTCAGCGAGCATCAACCTGAGGTGTGTTTCAGCCACTGAAAATATCCGGCAAAAGATTCTGTTAGAACTATTTTCAAGTTCATAGAGTACCTTTTACATCATCAATAATGTAGTCAGTTTAGTAGACCTAAGCATTCGTTTAGTTGTTCATGTTTAATAGGAAATTAAAACAAGCGATATGCGAGGATCAGCGAGCACAATTGAAAATGAAAAGTAAGTAATTTATTGTCTTGTTGACATAAGTGTAATGTAAAAAGATGACAGGATATTTCTGTTTTTAGCACTCCTTTCTTTCTGATCTGATTTTTATCTAGTTGATAACAACACATAAGTAATGCTCTTCTGTCCAACCAGCTACACTGAGGTAAAGTTTGATTTATATTCGCAAATTTGTTTATTTTTGAACAGTGACAGACTGTGAGATGCTCCCATGTTAACGTTACTTTGAATATTGGGTCTGGAAAAATGACTGGAAAAAATATGGACGACGCAACAGCGTCTTTTCCCATTGAATGCTTTGAAGGCAAAACGCCTCATGACGGGCACAAACTGTCGCAAAACACTGCTGAAATTGGTGCCTGGGTATGCGCAGAAGGGGACTACCAGATGAAGCCAGAGGCGAAGCTGAGAAATAAAGCTTCGGTAACACTTTATAATAACTACACACCTTGAATCCAACCATGAATAAACGTTAGTAAGCAGGTCATAACTGCACCTACAAATGCTGTATTCTTGACTTACCACCATATTTGTAATGCACTTAATAATTGTACTTTCATACTTTGTTAATGATTTATTTTTATCACTAAATTAAGTATTGCATTATTTACAAACCATTTGTATTTAAGAGTAGTTGGTGTTTTTTAGGATAATTCAGAATGAGTAAGTAAATTATTAATAAACTATTGAAATCAACGTTTGTGATTCAGGCATATAGTAATGGTTACTATATATGTTAATAAATGCTTTATTAACTATTACTTCATGCAGTTTTGTGACCTAATCTAAAGTGAGGACTATTTATGCTGTATAAATCCCTTTTAAATAATAATTCCAGGCTTGGTATCAAATAAACAATAATCTTATATCTATCTATATAAATTATATTTATCTTATATAAAAAGTAAAATTTCAATTTTTATTTTGTCAAAATACAACATAAAATTGGATAAAACAACATCAATATAATAATATAACAATATAATAAGATGCCATGGTTAAACTGTAAAGTCATTTTATTTTAGATAAGGTTGCAAAGATTTATTTTTCATTTGAAGTACAGTTTCATTTGTATATCTTCAAATGAATATAATGAATAATTTAACTGAGCCTATAATTGTCATTTATAAGGGATTTATAAAGCATGAACAGTCCTCACTTTAGATTAGGTCACAAAACTAGATGAAGTTGAGTTCATAAAGCATTTATTAACATAGAAATTAACTTTTAGTATATGCCTCAATAATAAAAAAATAAAAATGTTAATTCGAATAGTTTATTAATCATTTACTAACTCATTCTGAATGATCTTAAAAAAACGCCAACGTCCTTAAATAACTGGTTTGTAATTAATGCAATACTTAATTTAGTAATAAAAAATAAACCATTAACAAAGTATGAAAGTACAATTATTAAGCACATTATAAAGTTATATAAGTTATACATAAAGTTATAATGAGCAGTTATAAACTGCTCATTATTGTTTATTAATGTAGAGTTAATGCTCAACAGATGATGATTTCACTATTTGTTAATGCTTAATAAATGGTTCAAAGTGTGTAGTTATTATAAAGTATTAATTAATTAATTATTATAATTAATAATATATGATTTAAAAACTGTGATGTAAGCTGTTCTAATTTAATAAAAGAATACATGTTGGACTGCAGGAATTAATCTAATACACTCAAAGTTAGACTTAGCTTTGAGCACAAAAAATATTTATTTTACAATGGGTTGTCGGTATTTATTATCTTAAAAGGGGTGGAAATATCACTTGTAAAATATGAACAAAAACATATGAACAACACATATATTTTTAAAATAGCTTTTATTTTTAATTAGCGATTAACAGTTCCCAAAATATTCACACCATGAACAGCTATTTACCTTGCTGGAAAAATTGTGCGTTTAAAAGTTAAACACAGCAAGATTTCTAAATATCAACAGATATTTACACATCCCATCCCTGCACTACATAAAATACTGCTTGTCAATTTGTACAATAAACTTAGCAGTATTAATGCATCAACTGATGTCTATATGATATAGTCCTATCAGCTGCTGCAAGATCGCTTGTATATAGTTTTTCATTTTTTCCTCTGTTTTTATTTGATTTATTCCATGCCTTAATATCTGGCAAATGTGAATTTATCTTTATTTTAATGTTTAATAGGAGGTTTCAAATGATGAATAGTAAATGGTGTATATAATCAATATATAACATTTACAGTTCTATTTGTTTTAAAATATACTGCTTCTACAATATTAATATTTTATAACAGCAAATTCAGTAGACTTGTTAATTAGGTCTGCAGGGCAACCACCCAGTAACGCATTACAATAATCTAATCGAGAGGTCATAAAAGCATGGATAAGCTTTTCTGCATCAGACATTGATAGCAAATGTCGAAGTTTGGCAACATTTTTAGATTAAGAAAAAATGCTGTTTTACAGACGCTTGAAATCTGGCCTTCAAATGACAGGTTACTCTCAAATATCACCCCCACATTTTTGACTGAAGATAAGGACTAAACTAAGAATCCAAGGTTAGACATTGTTCTAGGGTTTTACGTGTGAGGTTTTTGGGTCCAATTTGCAGGACCTTAGTTTTATCTCAATTTAACTGTTGAATGACATGATCTAGTGTTAGATAAGGTTGTCTATTGTCATCAGATCGTCATCTATTTCGTGCACTTTCATGACTTAACGGGGCGTGGCTTTGGATGGCAGGGGAAGGATGTAAATTTTCAAAATGATGCTAACGTTAGCATTCTGGCAAATCACCTACTGCACCTTTATGTACTATTTTGAAGATTATTTTTTAAATCAAATGATTTTTTTATTAAGCTATTATGATTTGTTGTTGTTGATGCTGTTGTTAATTTAGTTTCATAAAAAATACACAGAAATATTTTCCTGAAATATCTGATAATAATTAAAATTATTAAAAACCTACTTCTGAAAATGAAGCTTTGCCATAACTTATTTTTTACTATGCTCAATAACAATATTTTTAGTACGCTGAAAACAAACAAACAAACAAACAAACAAGCAAACAAACAAACAAACAAACAACAAAAACATTTTACGAAATTTTGGATAAAAAGGATTCTTTCAAATAACTGAAAAATCATATGTACTCGTAGTTTTGAATGATAAAACATTTATTTTGTTTGTTTTAGACTCACACATTGTTCTCTCTACTGGGTCTCAGTCATGCATATGTAACCAGTATTGGTAAACTGGTTGGGGTGGTCGCACTAAAGGAGGTAAGGATTTAAAGATCGTCTCTCCCAATTTACCAGACAAAATATATGGCTATATTTGAAGTAAATCATTTGACTTTATTCACTTTCATTCCCAGCTCCAGAAAGCAATCGAAGGTTCAACACGCAGCGGTGTGCGACTGCGTCCCCCTTTGGCCAGTTTCAGAGATGCAAGACGAAAAACAAAAAAACCTTCTCATTCCCCTTCTATCCCATCCTCTCCCACACAGGACATAGAGTTATGGAGTGAGGCAGTTAGAAGAGAAAGTAAAGAGGAGTCTGCTGGCAGTTGTATTCAGACAGTTGAGAAAGAGTGTGAGAGCAGCAGAAATATAGTGAGCACCTCTGAGGAGCAGCTGCCTTCCTCTTCTACAGTCCCTCTCTCCTCACTTCATTCTGTGCCTGGAGGAGAGGGCGATGCTGAAAAAGAGAGAGATGAGGAGCCGTTATAGATCTTTTGTCCATAATATTTTCATATTATGCTGCACCATCAGACTTTCTGACTGATTCTCAACTGTCTGGACTGGAATTTATTAATTCTCTTTTTTCTAAATGTTTTTATTCAGTTATTTTTCTCTTTTTTCTCTCTCTCTTTATTCGTACAAACTGTATGGACGGTCGTTTGACACATCACACTAAATGTCTTCCCTATGTTTGCCAATTTGTCACCTTACCTTTGCGACTGTACATGATCTGAGCTTTAAAAACATTTTGTCTTTGTGTTGGCTGTAGTCAGGTTTATTCAACAATACTAAATGTTTTATTTCATCTTGCAGATTTTAGGTTGCGTAATTTTAAAAAATTTTTTGTGTAAAATTTCTAATTAATTTTCTAGGTTCTGTACAAGTTCGGTTTAATCTTGTTATATTGTTGACTTAAAATATTAACCTTTAGCCAGTATTGGGCATGTTACTTTAAAAAGTAATTATATATAGCTACTCGTTAATAATTAAATTACCACATTATAAAAGTAAATAATTACTTGAGAAAAAAACTGTCGTGTTATGTGTATGGCAAAAAAAAATTTGGATGCCCCCTATAGTATACATGTTAAAGGAAAAGAAATAATAAATTTAATGGAATAAATTATTAGAATATGTTGCACACTATTTTGTACTATGATAATGTTAATGTGGGACAATGTGAAAGACACCAATCAAATATTTTATTTCAAAAATTTTAATATCAATATTTTATTATACATGCTATCGTTTCTTTAGTGGAACAGCAGCACATAATAGATGCTTTAAAAATTTTAATATTACACAGTTTGAAACTTTGTAAAAGTTGAAAAAGTTACTAAGAGAGTCTGTGTTATGCCAACATGTATAGAGAGATGTAGTTATAGTGCTCAGCATAACTAAGTACAGCCCATTTTGTAAATAAATACTTGTATCCATTTCTGAGTGAATATAGGTAATGCATTTCGGTGCATTTAAGCAAAACAGATTTATTAAACAGAAATATTTAATAAAAATTTTTTTTAGTCACCAAGCATATTTAAAAAAATGGAAAGATAATACAATTAAATTCAAGTAAAATGTTGCAAAAAATATATTACAAACTAATAAACTTCAACTAAATTTTCCTCTTTTTTTTTGGAATCTTTTGATTTTTCCTATATTTTAAACTTGTATTTAATATTGTTCTATAACATATACTTTTGGGTGTATTAGTTTTTGGACCGTTATCATACGTTATTTTGCTAGACAAGCTCCAGATTTGGCTTCAATACTGACTAATCTAATTATATATATATATATATATATATATATATATATATATAAATATATTTATATATATATATATATATATATATATATATATATATATATATATATATATATATATATATATAAATGCACTTATATATGATTGTATGTCTTCCTATTAAAAATATGAATTTGAAAAATAAAATTTGTGAGGGGTGTACTTATATATGCTGAGCACTGCAGAATGAAAATTAATAGATGCGACTTAGTTAAAACATTAGCTTTTATTTTTGAAGTAACAATAAAAAAAAGTATATAGAGTTGAAGCAAAATTATGAAATTTCACAGGAGGGGCATTTCTAATATCCAATGTTTGTGCCATGATGACAGTACATGATATTTTACCGCTTATTTTTCCAAATACTATTCACCTTAATGGGCAGTTTAAATGCTTAACTAGGCAAGTTAACTAGCCAAGTTAATGGCCAGCAGTGGCTTGTTCAGTAGCCAACCAGGAAAAAAAATTCTAAGTGAGCTAGTAATGTTGACCTCAAAAACCATATAAGAAAATAAATAAATAAATAAATAAATAAAAATAATTTTCATTCCAAATAAACTACAAGATATAAATACAGTATAATAGAAAATACTGTGAAAATGACTTTGCTCTGTTTAACATTTATTTAATTTACAAACACTGTTCAAATGTTTGAAAAATAATTACATAGTGACGAGAGGGCTGACATTTTTGCTTTGAACTGGTGATTGGTGTGTGTGTGTGTGTGTGTGTGTGTGTGTGGTTGTGATTAGTAATCCCCCTTTGATTTTTTATTCTTTTTTTTTTATTTTTTGAAATATTCCCCAAATTATGTTTAACAGAGCAAGGACATTTTCACAGCATGTCTGATAATATTTTTTTAACTAGAATAAAAGCAGTTTTTAATTTTTTTAAAACCAATTTTAAAGTCAAAATTATTAGCCCCTTTTAAGCTATATGTTTTTTTGATAGTCTACAGAACAAACCATCATTAAACAATAAGTTGCCTAATAACCCTAACCTGCCTAGTTAACCTAACTAACTTAGTTAAGCCTTTAAATGTCACTTTAAGCTGAATTGAAGTGTCTTGAAAACTATCTTGTCAAACATTATTTACTGTCATCATGGCAAAGATTTTAAAACTTAGTTATTAGAAATTAGTTATTAAAATTATTATGTTTAGAAATGTTGAAAAAAATCTCTCTGTTAAACAGAAAACTGGGAAAGAAATAAACAGGGGGGCTAATAATAATAATATAAAATTAATAATTAATTGTGTTAGACGATAATCTGTTAATTAACACACACACACACACACACACACACACACACACACACATCATATTGTATATAGTGAAAGAGACCATGTCTATTTATTTTTACTCCTTTTCTAATAATTCCCATTGTATTTGACACAATAGTACAGATTTCTTTCTGAAGAATTAAATTATTGTTTGTTGTTTGATCTTGTGTTGAATCTGGGGTAACTTTGATCACTAGTCGTTTTCATGAAATCAGTGTTTACTAATTTAAGCTTCAACTCTTACTTTATCACCAAATCTTTGTTTGATTGTTGAATTATTGATTCATGTTAAATAAAATTGTTTTTGTCTTTAATTGTATTTTGACGTTCTCAACTGCAGTCTTAAAATACACAAAGTGCACTACAATGCTGTGTTTGCTTCGTTTATTTGTTCTTTATTATTATTTCTGGGAAAAATAAAGGAATAGCAGTATTCTTGTTTGTCAGGGAGGTGTTTTGTTCGTGCAGGTAAAAGAGGGAGATGGCTGAGAGATAGACAATTTGGTGGAGGAAGATGAAGAGCACATTGGAAGAACCACCTTAAAACCACCAGTAAAGCATGCATAGATATATTTATCACAGAGCATTTCTTATAGCACACCTCTTACGGCTCATTCAGTTTATATGAATGGATTTATATCTGTATAGCTTGATGAAACCACGAATTTCCTCATGACATTGTTTCTTGTCCAAAATCTTACTGTTTCTGTGTATGATTCTTCCACCAAGAGGACAACACAGGGTTTGAGTAATAGACAGATAACATACAAAGGGAAAGAGAGGAGGTGAGAAAGACAAGTACACTAGTTCACAGGGAAAAGGAGAGAGGTAGAACAAAGGTTACAGCATCATGCCAATAGACAGTTTTGTTGTGAAAGATGGCAGTATAGAAATAAAAAAGAAATCCATTATTCTGTAACAACTACATCCAAGGATATACATTTGGCTTTTTGTTATTATTTATTCATTCGTATATTCCTTATCTTACATTAAAAAATAAAAATAAAAATAAAAAAACGGTTAAAGAGGACATGACATCGCTCTTTTGGTTGCAATAGTATAACCTGGATTTGCAAGAATGCCATGTCAGATTTATATGGTTGAACTTTTTGAGGCATTTGTAGAAAGTTGAAAATATGATGGTGGGATTACAGTTATCACAGAAACAAAAAGGTAAATAATTACTTTAAAATGATATAATTACCTACAGTCTGTTATTTTGTGATCATTAAAATCTAACTGAATCTTTAGCCTGTGTGATTTTGAAATAGTTTATCATACTGAGGGAACATTTCATATAAACTTATAATCTTTTATCATCATTTAAAATGGCTTCCATATGTTCCAAATCTGTATAAACAAATGAATGAAATTAAAAATTAAGTACTAACTTCAATAGGAAAAGATACTATGGAAGTCAATTGTTAGGGAATCTTGTTTGGATACAAAACATATTCTTTTGTATATAGCAGCAGAAGTAATTCAAAAACAAGTGGAAGGATATTTCTTTGTGTGTGTAACCTGGCCCTTTAAGATATCTAAGAATGAATCAGTATTCAATATTCAGGTGAATTACCCCTTTAATATTATTCCCAATCATCATAGAAAATGCCAACAACATTATTAGGCTACAGTAAAGCTTTTGAAGCTTTTTTAAATAAAACTCAAACAAGAATTTGGTCTGCAATGAGCTGCTAATGCCACCAAACCCGACATAAAAACTAAAGTTACAAGTTGTCATCGTGAACTTGCTTATTGGTAAGCTTGCTTGAGCATAACATATTACTGTAAGGAGATGGAAATGTCTAACTATCATTTTTGATACCAAAAGTTTTAAGAAAAAGCTTTATTAATTATACACTATATATCATTTTATGCATTAGCAAATAGTACAATCATCATTTGTTAAGCACTAACTTTACATTATAAGACATTAGTACACTGTAAAACCCAACAGTCAACTTTATCAAATGAATTGAGTGTAGTTACCTCAAAAGATAATTCTACTCATTTGAAAAGAGTTGTGAACTCGGCGTTGAAGGTATTGAGTTTATAAAATACCTCATTACTTCAACTTAAATTTAGTAAGTTCACAGTACAGTATTTTTTAAACTCAAATGGTTTGTAGCAATCAGTTTCCTCAAATGGTTTGAGTTGCCTTAACTTATTGTGTTTTACAGTACTCAGTTGCTTTAAGTTCTCTTCATTTATTGTATTTTACTGTGCTCAAATTGCGTATTTACTCAATATACTCAGTGTGTAGTTTACTCTGAATATTTACTCAAATGGATTAAGTTAACAATACTCATTAGGATTAGCTTTTGAACACAAATGGTTTGTTGCAATCGGTTTCCTTAAATGGTTTAAGTTACCTTAACTTTTGGGGTTTTACAGTGTATAAATACAGCTATAAATTCTTAACATATTCACATTGTATTTATACTAATAAATGTAGACTTAATGTCCTATAATGTAGACTTAAGCCCCAGTCAGATCACATGAATTTGTCATGATTTCGGGATGATTTCCTTGATGTAGGGTGTCGTGGGGATTCGTAAACAATAAAATGGGCGTTGTGACACAAGATTCAATCGTTTATTATCATGTAATATGGCATAGTTCATGACAACCGATACTATGTCTGCGACACCTCAAAACACCATTGCAGATAGTCAAGCATGTTTAATTTTTTCCTCATTCTTCATAACGAGTTCTGTCACGTGGATGACATGGGGTGACATAATCAGTCATTGGTTATGCAAACTTTAACTACCTTTTATAAAATATTGAGTTGTTTTAAGCAGTTTTATCTGATAGATTGGCACAACCATCTTCACTCTCACAACTAGTTTCTGAGTTCTCTCAGCCTTTTAACAAAATTTTCTCTTCCAAGGTAATCTGGGAACATGTTCAGTGCTGCAAATAAATCGCAAAGGCATTTCCTGCTTATTCAAATTTGTTATTAGGGAAATCAATTTCTCAGAATCTGTGACTATTTCACTTTATTTTTATTTAGGCTAGATTATTATTTTATTTAACAAATCAACACAATTTCACTGCAATTAGTGTTTTGGCGTTTATAGAGGACTTGTTTGGAAGTCAAAAAGTTTCCTCAAATGTTATGAGTTATTCTTGTTTTTAAATTACAAAAGATACATTAAAATTAAGTTAAAAAATATAGCTAACGAAAAAGTCTTTTTTTCCAAGAAAAATATACGTTTGTTTTTGCCCCTCCTCTACTCAACTATACGGGTGGATCATTTGCTCTGAGGAAAATACAGTTTTAATAAATGCTTCACTGTGATTGTTTCACAAATCTCTGTCATATATTTGATAATTTTTTTAAATATGTCATTATTTTAAAGATTATGTCTTGAGCATCTAATTTTTCTTTGCTGCTGCTTATGTGCTATCATTTTATCTGTCTCACTCGCGGCAAGTTCAGGTAAGAGAGTGTTTAACAAGAAACCCATAGTAGGAAAATATACATTTAGATTTCAAAGAAAATATCTTTATATTAAAAAGGAATCGTAAGTTTGATCCTATACATGTCATAAGGAATGTCTTTAAATAATGAAGTTATTAGTTGTATGCAAGCATCAGTGTTTATTGAGATTTAAATAAGATTGAAAAAAAAATCTATCAAAATCAAATCAATTGAGATAAGAAATATTGTTATAGCAACACTTGTGGCTGCTTTGAGAAATAAAGCACATCGTAGACGTCACAGGATGACTGACTGTGAAGAAACAAGTAGTCTGGCTCATTTGTTAACCATGACAATTCAAGATTTCATCAAGAAAAAAACATAGCATAATCTGATATAGTCTTTCGTACCAGACAATAAAAATCATGTGATCTGACCTGAGCTTTAGTGCTTAACAAATGATGAATGAACTATTTTCTATTGCTTAAATGATTTATAATCTCCAGTTAGTATAAACATGTTTCAGAAAAACCTGAAGAAAATGGATAACAATATGTGATGTGTTTTAGCAAACCAGAGTGATACAATTACAACCAATGATGCATTTATCTCAGAATAACAAATGTATATCATACAGGTTGCAAAGTTAAATCCCTCCCCTATATAGCCTAATTCTTCAATAAATAAATGGGCACATATTATTTCAACGTGAGCAGCTTTTGGAGGTCAAAAGTGTTAACATAATGTAAGACCACAATGAAGTAGCACTTGTGCTGTAGTTCCATGGTTGGCTACATGTAATTATAATGTCAGTTTTAGTGATGTTATATACAATATAACATGTATGATGCAGTACTCAAAAATTAGTTAGACCTTCCTCAGGAGCCTCGCAGTAAAATAATATGCACCTCAACATATAGAGGAGGGAGTACACACAATTCTGTAGAAAAATAAACATTGTCCCAACATTGCATAAACAATCGATCAATAAATAAATTCATTCAAGTCAACATACTTCATATAGCTATTAATGCTATTGCCTCTCACCACCAAGCTGGTATCACACACAATCTGTGTACAACACCCAAAGCTGTATACTGTTGTAATTAACGGTAGACAGTGTTTTCCTTTATCCCTGTTTTTTTTTAATCCTTGGAGATTCATGCATGACATCACAATGCAGAATGTTGTAGCTTTTCTTTCTGAACCAAACTAATCCTACTTTGGGGTGCATATGCTTCATGTCTGTTTACATACAAACACACAGTCAATGCACAGTTTGTAATGTCATGGTAACTGTAATAATCAGTACCCATGACGAGCAGGAAGACGCCTGTGCAGTTCAAAATTCCAAATGGCCTGAGTTGTTCATGAGGTCACTTTACTCAAAGTCCATTTCCCTTCTCACTCTGCAGAGACATATTTCCTTGATAACGTTTATTTACAGTATATGCATCCAGGTCTTGTTGTATTCTCGCCTTGATATTTAGTGAAAAAAAAAAGTAGGATGAAATACATTTTTTAACAAAATTTCCGACATGCTTTATTATAAAAATCATCAAAAACTGGTCCTGCAAATGTAAATAAAACAGAGTACGAGCTGCCATGAGGGTTGTTTTGGCAAAAAATTGTTCTTCTGTTTTTAATTTAAGGTTATAAGTCATTTCCTATCAGTTTTTCTCATCTCAGTTGTGTGTTTTTTTTTAAAGAGGACAAAAGCTAATAATTTGATCTGAGTTCATTTAATCTAGATATTCCAAAACTGCAAATCTAGATATTTTAAAGTTGAGGTTTAATTTAACCAAAGTGAACAAAATTGTCAAAGTGATTAAATGAAATAGTCAAATTTGTAACTGAAGCTCTGCAAGTACAGTGCGAATTGTGACTTTTTGTCCCATAAAATATTAAATCTAAAAGGCATCTGTACTCCTTTCACCAACCAATGCAAGTGCAACATTTTAATATTATTACTTATTTTTCTGTCCTTTAAGCAGCCGGTCAAATCACTAAACACAGAGTGCTCACAGAGTCAGTCTCAGCTCAGAAAGGTCCAGTGCAAATATCTATACAGTGGGACTCCACAGTACACTGACAAACATCATGCATGCCAAATGACACACAGAAAAGGAAGCACACTATATTACAATCCATTATTAAATGTTTTTTGTATGTGCATTATTGAAATTGATTTTCATTACTGAGAGCAAAGAATAAATAAATTCAATACAATCAGTACATGTCACTTGTGACCAGCTTGTGACTGCTTGTAAAAATACATAAACATAAATGACAAATAAAATAGAAAAATACTAAAAACATGAAAAATTTTAGTGTTTGTTTGTTTGTTTAAATGAGTTGAAAATTTTAAATTGATTAAAATTAATACTTTTATTCAGCAAGGTTGAATTATATTGATAAAAAATGTTTATTGCAAATAAATTGTGTTCTTTTAAACACTTTAGAAATGTGTCATTGTTGCTTAACAACTTGACTTGCAACTTTTTAAGATTTTTGAAGGATAATTTGACACTGAAGCCTTTAAAACATCTGCTGAATATTTAGCTTTAATTAATACACTTTAAAACAAATCCGGAATTTCACAGTTTATTTCCGGCAGCTAGGGTGCCAGAACATAAAATAACAGGCGTTAAATTATAGAAATCTACCGTAAAATAATGAACATTAAATTATAGAAGTTTTCTCAAGTTTAAATTTTTGGTAAATTTCTGTAATTCAACACGGTTATTTTACCGTAAATTTCTGTAATTTAACAGATGTTATTTTATGTTTTTTTATTATTTTAATAGATTTTTTTTACAGTGTAGAACAAAAATGTCTGTGCAACTAATTTATTTCAAAAACATTGAAAACTTCATTATGCTCCAAAACTTTGTATGGTACAAGTACACTGCTCAAAAAATAAAGGAAGACTTTCTAATCAAAGGATAGCTTGAAGTCAGACTTTTGGGATATTGATCAGGGGTGCGTTTCCCAAACAACGACATAACTCATGGCTGAACTATTATAGTACGATGCAACGATTGGGAAAAGAAAAAATATAGTGAGAAGTTTTTCCCAAAACCATAGTTGCTCTGTTGCAGATAAATTGTTTAAACAATGTTAGTTATAATGTAAAACGTCTATAATGACACTCTAAATGTGGTAGAGGATCAACTTAATAGAAAAACCCCATAGTTTTGTGCAAGTTACTGTATATTGTTTTATATGCACACGCATTAAAAAACAAAAACAAAAAAGTAGTATTTTTAAAAACATGCACTCGTTTTCATTCCATATTCTATTTTAAAACATCAAACCACTTAGCTAATCTCATATATAAACTGTTAATGGATGTAATTTACAGTAGGCTATTTACTAAGAAAAAAATCCTATTTAATAATAACAACAGTAATCATTATTATTAATATTATTTTTATTATTATTATGTAGGAAATTGTTTATTTATTCTTTTTTTTTTTTTTTGAGCTCGCCGATTTAGTGTGGGCATAGAGCCTTGGCTGTGTCCAAAATGGCATACATGTTTTTAAAGTGCACTGCGAAGTGAACACAATCGTCAATACAAAGATCAGTAAAACTGAACTGTACAAAAAATACTATCATAGCAAATTTTACTTTGTAAAAAAAAACTTTAGTTTTTTTTTGTAAACTAAAAAACTAATCAATGTTTTAATGTTGGAACGTTCGAAAGGAATTGGGTATAGGGGGATAACTCGCAATAGAATGCAGCCAGAAACTATGCTTCTAACTGCAGCTCTAGAGGTGTAGTTGCAAGCGTACATGTTTGCGACTGTTTGCGAATTTCTGTCGGAATGATAGATTTGGCAAATGCCAAATCAACTAACTATGTTTATAACGATGGAACTTGTGACCTTAGTTGCTTAACGATGGTTTTTAGAAATGCACTACTGGTCAGTTAAATAGCAGAAGTAAATGGAAATAGGGTGGAAGCAGAGTGAAGTTTGAAAAACAACAAGACAACTTGGGATGGCTTTTACAGGAGTGGTTTTACACCGACTTGCACTGCTGTTTTTAACTAGTTTTGCGTTGGGCAAAATACCTGTTATCAGTACATGGACCCTGCCAAAGCTGCATAGGGAGTCCAACTCATCCTGGGATAAAAAATATCTATGGTGGAACACTTCTACAGGCTATGGCCCCTGACTGCCATTAGGTTTGGGGATGAAATCCTTGAACCACTTGTCAGATCCTGTGCTCCTGCAGTGGGTCCATGTGCACAACATTCATTCTTTCATTTATTCCTTTTCGGCTTAGTCCCTTTATTCATCAGGGGTCGCCACAGAGGAATGAACCGCCAACTTATCCAGCATACATTTTTACACAGCAGATGCCCTTCTAGCTGCAACCCAACACTGGGAAACACCCATGCACTCCTGCATTCACACACACACTACGGCCAATTTAGGTTACCCAATTCACCTATACTGCATGTCTTGGACTGTGGGGGAAACCGGAGCACCCGCAGGTAAGCCACGCGAACACGGGAGAACATGCAAACTCCACACAGAAATGCCAACTGACCCAGTCGGGGCTTGAACCAGCAGCCTTCTTGCTGTGAGGTGATCGTGTTACCCACTGTGCCACCATGACGCACACGTGCACAACATTGACTGGCTAAACATGGCAACAGCATTCAGGCAGTTGGCGGAGGATGAAGGATCTGATACCATTTAATTGCCCCAACACTCATTTGTCCTAAATCCAATAGAACACCTCTGAAATATTTTTGTTTTGGTCCATCAAATGCCACTAGGTTGCACCTTAGATGGCACAGGAGCCCAGGGGTGTCCTGGTTCACCATACCACCATTGCCTCATTAGGATACCCTGATGTTGTCAGTCATTTATACAATTCATACAAACTACTGAGAAACAGTCAAATTTCAACAAAATACCCTAGCCTGCCCCAGCATTTTGCGGTTTGATCTTATTGTATTTTTTTTTATTTAGCCCTTTGTATGTTTATAATTTATTTTTCAAACAACGGGGCATCTTTCCTTTTGATCTAAATCAGTATAAATATTCAGCCTAATATTTCCCCCCATTGAGATAGGATGTGTTTTCAAAGTGTCCATTTAATTTTTTTGAGCAGTGCATTTGCTAGTCTAAGCCTACGAGGATTTGACGTTTTAATAAAATAAAAAAAGAAGAAGGAGAAGAAAAAAAAAACCCTATAGATTCTGTACCGGTTTGTTCCAAATTAATGATATTATGTTTATCAGCATAGAAGCTTTGCGCCTGTTTCTTTTAATAGCATAAAAAACGCAAATGAAAATAGAAAATAAACAAGTGATTTTTGTTGTAAAATAACTATTATGGCATGTTTTATCTGGTATGGTCTGTGTGGAATCTATATTCTAAAAGGGCATGGGCTAAAAAAGTGTGACTTTCTTTTTTACAATTACATATTTACCTTTTTGTTGTTTAAAACTAAATAATTGTATTATTATCATCAATATGGTTTATTAACTATAAGTTAACACCTTTATTTTAAATAACGAGTGCCACCACTCTATGTAAAAGCATGCACATATTTAACCAAATGTTTTTTACTGTATATTCATTTTCCTGAATTACATACCGACATCTCTTATCGCTCCATTCAAACTTGAGTGAGACTTTCCTCATTTCTCTTCTTTCCCAGTCAAAAACCTCCATTCTGTCTTCATTTTTCAGACATCCACATAATAAGGCCTAAAAAATCATGTTCACACAAGTGCATTAACTTTCAGCTCTGATTTTCCATTTTGGGTCACTTGAATTCCATAACAATGGTGTTTGATTCCTGAAAAAAAGAAGTTTATATTGTTTTGTTATGCTGATTGAAATGTCTTTTAAAAGCAGCTCAAGTCTCTTGCCGGTCACTCAGTTGGTTGCCTTTGTGTCTGTGGGTGAAGATTCTGATTCTTCCTTTTCTTCAAGCTCTTCTATTACTGATGGTGAGACATCAGACGTCTTTCTCTCAGTGATAAATTCACCAGAGGATTGACCTGGACTGCTTCCTCCTGCTGAGGTCACTTCCTCTTTCTGAGCCACTGGAGATGGAATTAGTGTCACTGCTTCTGGTTCCATACATAGCGTAACCTCTTCCACCTGAAAAAGAGGATGGACATTAGTCTGTATCTGTATATGCATAAAGGTGTCTAGTGTGTAATATGTAACTTATGTGCTACCAGTAACACCAGTGATGTACAAAACCTCTAGAAGGTATAGATACGCTGATAAACACTTTACTACATTGTAAAACCCAAAAAGTTAAGGTAACTCAAACCATTTGAGGAAACCGAATGCAACAAACCGTTTAAGTTTAAAAAATAATCCTAATGAGTACTGTAAAGTTAATCCATTTGAGTAAACAAAGCTATATGAGCACAGTAAAACCCTATAAATAAGAGAACTCAAACCAACTGAGTATTGTAAAACCCAATAAGTTAAGGTAACTCAAACCATTTCAGCAAAGCAAATGCTACAAATAATTTAAAATAAAAAATCTAATATGAGCACTGTGAACTTACTCCATTTAAGTTAAAGTAATGAGGTATTTACTGTAGTTAACTCATTACCTTCAACACTCAGTTGAAAACTCTTTGCAAATGAGTAGAATTAACTTCCAGTAAATTTTGAGTTAACTACACTCATTTTATTTGATAAAATTGACTGTTGGGTTTTACGTTGTCTAAAATTACTGACATCATATAGTACAGTATCAACCATACACTGTAGCCTACTAGTACATATACACAAACACACCTCAACACCACAGCATCAGTAACATCAGCTTCAATGCTATGTTCACACCAGATTCAGAATGTATGGATAAATCGCAATATTTGTGCGTAAAGTTGAGTTAACTCGCTTCATTCGCACGTCAAATCTGCTTCATTTGCATATCAAATTCACTGAGCAACAGACGTGGATTTGCATGATGGGCAGGGCTTCAGTCTGCCCGGTGGCTCTAGCTTCGTTGCTAAGTGGCTAACATGGATTTTATTGAGAAAATAACAGTGTTTATGTGCTTTATGAAAGCTGATGAACAACGTCGATGCGTTTGGAGCTGTGTCCACTAGATTCTTTCAGAGATGCAGCAGATCTGTGAGTTTATCAACTTCTTCAGAAACTTAACCTGGATGATGGAGGCTTTCAGCAATGCTTTTGACAGAGTTAGCCCAGTTTGATGAGCTGTTGTCGGTGTGTGTAGGAGGATTTCCCCCTGGGACACCAACAACAGGGGCTTCGTCATAATCACACCCCCACAGGAGCAAGATTCTGATTGGTTAACGTGGCGCAAATGTCCGCTGAAATTGAGATTTTCCAACTCCAACTTTAGTGCTGACATTTTGACTATTTTTGCTTAGCATCATAAGCGTGTGGTGGTGTTGAAAACTGGGGTGGGGCAAAGTTTAGACCATAACAATGTACTATTTGTGTTTCTTTGTACAATGTACAATGTGTTTTTTATATCTAAAATGTTGTATTGAATGGCAAGTCAATAGATGTAGATGGTGATATCACATTGTAAAGAAACATCTCTTGACCTGTATTTTGCCGTTGTTGGTTTGGTTAGGAAGTATTTGCATATATCTATAAACTGCATGAATTAAAGTCCAGATTTTGAATCTAATATTTACAGTGTATATTTAACCTGAACATTTTACTTTTAAGACGCTGTTTAAAATATTCATAGTTACTGATTAACAGGTAACAGATGGTTAAAATACATTTTAAAGTATGTATGTTTCATTTGTTTGTAGACACCCCTTAATTTGGTTTCACTGCAATCTCATTCAAATAAATTTAAGAGTGGCTTAGTTGTCAGTTTGAAGCCATTACATTTTTTTCACTCACTTTAATCTCCCCATCCTGTTCGTCGTCCAGTAAAGATGAATGTTCTGTTATCACATCCTCTGTGGGGACTGTTAGATTTCCATCTACAGGCATCCCCATGTAGCCCACCGTGTCTGGCTGGTAGACCTCAGTCTGTGGTGTGCCCCACAGATCCACCAGTGGAGGATGAGTGAGGGGAGGGAGGCTGTGGATAGTGCTGTTCGGAGTAGCTTGTAAAGAATGAGTGGCACTCTGTAGTCTTTGCTCCAAGATCTGCACACAGAGACAAAAACTGCTCAAGTTTCCTTTGCAGCAGCAACCTATTTTTTCAGCTACCTGTTTTTATCACAACGTTTTTCAATTAAAAACAAATTAATTATGATGTTTAAGCCATGATGCAAAACCTATATGACTGCATTCCGTAACAGTGACAAATTCAGATAAAACTAAGGACTTGCTTATTTAGGCCTAAAACCACACATGCAGAAAACTAGAATACTGTCTAACCCTTGATGGATTTTCAGTTCAGTTTTCATCTTCGGTCAAAAGGTGTTGCCAAACTTCAACATGCTATGAATGAAAGCTTAATTATGCTTTCATGATTTCTCAATTAGACTACTGTAATGTGTTACTAGGTGGTTGCCCTTTAGGCCTAAATAAACTTCAGTTGATTCAATTGCAGCCGCTGAAGTGTTTTTAGGAACTCTGGACAGTTGATTATTCCCAGATTATCAAAATCGACAGTAGGCAGTAGATCCTTCTCATATCTGGCACCTAAACTCTGGAAGAGCCTTTCTAGCACAGTTCGGGAGGCAGACACACTTTGTCAGTTTAAAACTAGACTAAAGACATATATTTTTGCAATAGCATACACATAAAACACAAACGCATAACTTTTGAAACCCCGATTTATAGTTAGGCCACAAATAATTAGGGAAACTGGAGCTGGAAACACTTCTCAAATACACATTATAATTTGAATTCCATCTACGCTTATGTTAGTCTGTTTCCCCTTATTCTGAGGTCTCGATAATCCTGGACCCAGTCTGTACCCTGAGCAGATGCTGGGGTGGTCATGGAGAAGTAGAGAGCGTGAGACTGATTCCTGAAACACCCCAGAAAAGTTTTTTCATTGAAGACGTTTTCTTGAGTTTTTTTTTTTTTTTTTCACTGTTGTCAATTAGTAAAGTTTATTACTTGCCACTGTCGCCACTGGCTTGTTTGGTTTTAGACTGGGCATCGTTGCATCACACATTAAACTGAACTGAAATAAACTAAACTTCAACTGTGAAAACTGATGCTCGAGTGACAACATTTTTGTTGTTACAGTTGCCTCATTGCATGTGTTTGGAGCTCTGTCATATAAATTGGTAATTACCATTTTTATCATAAAATACATGCCCATTCATTACTATTTTTGTTTTTTACAGAGGGTAAACAAACCCGTAACATGGTTAAACAAATAAATCTACTCAAAATGTTTCGTTCCTCAAGCATTCACTTACCCTCTAGCCTGCTGGCATCACTAACCAGCTATTTTGGCTCTTCACCCTGTACAATGTCACTTAATTGTCTATCTTTGAGTGCAGGAGAAGCATTGATGGAGGCATTGGAGCTGGAGCAGATCTGTGACCTCGAGATGAAACAAGCACAACTCTGGGAACAACAGGCCTTGTTTGATGTCTCCTGAGCAGCTGCTTACTCATCTGAGGTAAGTGTTTGCTGCAATCTCAACACTCAACACTTTCCACCGGGGTGCAATGTTGCAATCATCTGCAATTTCATCATTCACCATGTTCGTGCTGCTTCTGCTAAAGGTAAACCTGTCCTGCACCTACTGCTTTCCTTGTGCTTGTGTTAAGGATGTCTCTGCTAAGGTACCCACTCTCCTGAGCGCTGGCAAGAACATCGGACCTGTCTTCATCCACATGGGGACGAATGACACTGGGCTGCGGCAGACGGAGATCCTGAAGAGGGACTTTAGGACCCTGATCGAGACGGTTTAACCTCCTTCTTACCGCAGAGGAAATAAAAAGGTTTAGTAGATTTTTTTGCTCTGAATGGACGGCTATTAACATGGTTTGAAGAACCGAAGCTGCTTTTTGCCAATAACTAGAATGTTCCCTGGGACTGTCCTAGGCTTTTCCGAGCTGATGGTCTGCACCCCAGCAAAGCTAGAGCTGAACTCCTGTTAAAACATTGCTCCTTCGTTCTGTTTGACTAGTAAATGAAAATTCTCATTTTAGCCACATAGACTCTTGCTTAACCGACTTAAATCAAAGAAGTGCATATCTAACAAACCCCATAGACTTCTTAAAGCTTGGGCTTCTAAACATAAGGTAACTAGTACTTAAAGCACTTATTGTAAATGAAATAATAACAGACAATAATCTTAATGCACCCTGTCTTACTGAGGCCTGGCTTAAACAAAATGACTGTATTAGTTTAAATGAAGCAACTCCTTAAGGATTTTTACATAATCATGAGGCTTGTCAGACAGGTCTTGATGGTGGTGTTGCATCAATCTTTAGTGATATTCTTAATGTTAATCAGACAAACTGACCTAGGTTTCATTTTTTTTTATATATTTGCACTTTTGAATATTCAGAAAAAATAACATGTTATCTCTCACTTTAATCATTGTTTCAAGAGTTCACACTTAGCTAATGATTGGTAATAAGCTAGTTTGGTATGCTGTCCCGGGAGAGAGCCCTGAGCTCATGAGATCCTCAAGCCCAGGGCTCCCTCCTGAAGGAGGGGAATTTGAGCTCAGGTAGATCTTGAGGACCCCCCCCCCCCCCTTCTGCTGCTAAAGGTTTGCTAGAAGGTGTGTTGCTGGTGGAATTTGAATATGGTGCTGATTTGTTTTAGTCAATGTACTTATGTCTTATGTTTTGGACTGTGGGAGGAAACAGGAGGACCTGTGAAAAACCCACGCAAGCTCTATTAAACTACTGGCCTGGCTGGAGTGGGCATGGCTCCTGCAGGAGTCGGCACTTGGGGTGTCACTCCTGTGGGAGTAAGAGAAGCAGAGTAGTGCATGCAAGGAAGGAAAAAGAAAAAGCTGGAAGGAAAAAGAAAAAGGAGAGAGAATGCAGAGTTTGTTCGCTTTGGAGCTAGGAGCAGGGCAAAGTAGTGCTTTTCAGAGAGGAGAAGCAGAGTTGAGTCCGTGCAGGAGGGACAGGGAGGGAGGAGCATGGGTAATGCTCAGCGTTAAGAGGAAGGAGAGAAGAGAAGGTGGCCGGGGCATGCTGATGCTTTAGGCTACCAATGAGTAAGTGGCAGCTTGTGGGTGTCTGTTAGGCAGTTTTGAGGTAGTAATGGCTGGATTAAGACCAGTCCTAGATTTGTGCGAACTGAACCACTGTATACACCAAATGCAGTTCAGGATGCTCAAGCAGAAGCCCATGCTCCAATCCTTTCGTCTTTTGAAATGGTTTGTAGCTGTAGACCTAAAGGATGCAGACTTTTATGTCTCCATTCTTTCACGCCACTGTCCATTCCTTTGGTTTCCATTTAACGTTGAACATGGCAGTACAAAGTCCTCCCCTTCAGGCTCTCCATGTCTCCATGGGTTATTACCAAGCTCATGGAGGGTACCCTAGCTCTCTTTAGCTTATGAGCATACACTCAATTATTTTGATGACTGGCATAAATTAGCCCCATGGTTTCTGCTGGTGGGCTTAGGCAGGGCCCTGGGATATTGAAGATTGATAAAAGCGGTCAGTTTGGCTTACAACCCCACCAAGCTGAATTGAAAAGGTGGTGAGCAAGGTTGTTGGTACCCAGACAGTGGCATTAGATAGGAAATTAGAAAACATCAAGAAAAAACTAATTACGTTGCTATGTGATTTAGTCAGATCTGAAGACTAGTGACGCACATTAGATATCTGCGAAATAAGCAGATATAGACCCAAGTTAAAAACCTTTTCTTCTTTTCGGTTTCTCTGTGACTCTCCTGCTAGACGGCCTCGGCTAGGGACAAACAACTTCCCCCAGAGACCAAGATAAGGAGACACTCTAAATCCCTACACACAAACACAGCTACACATGGACAATCAAAAACCCCCACATCCCACTTCTTCGTGTGCTTTCACCCACCGGTGTGGGTAGGTGGGTCTGTGACCAGTGCCCCCTGGCTTTATCAGACTATATCAACATCCCCTGTTCCCATGCCCTGTTGCGATGTTATGTCTATGTGTTTATGTGCTTGTGCTAGGGCTTTTTTCCCTCTGATCTCACACTGCCCTACTTCAACAGCAGTCCGAGAGGGGCTTTTTTCCGCCTTGCTCTTCCCTAATGTATCTTATTTTCTTAGGTGCAGCTACTTTCTTAGGGGACCATCCTACAAAAGGTATGATGCTCTGCCCATCTAATGAGTAACCACCATGGGTTTAGACCAGAACAAAGCCAGATTATTGTTCCTCATGTTGCCTGTGAACTCTCACCCAGGCATGAATTGCAATGTCTGGCTCTTTGGCATGTTTGAAATCGTCAAATTATTGTTTCATCTGATGTTGCTGATTAGTGGTAGGTGTTTTAATCCGGATGAATGTTAACAATAATTTTAATCAGATAAAAAGTGGAAAAGAGTGGAAAAACAATTTGCAACATGACTGAGCTGGTGGTGGTGAGTTCAGGCCATTTAGAGTGTAGATCATTTGCTACCACTAAGTACCTCTAATTGTAAGGAACCTCGTTAATCTCTCCACTAATATTCAGCTGCAGGTGCTCCCAGGACAAGTAGACTAGGCTGGTGGTTGAAGGGGTGGGGTGTGTTTTTTCCACTCACAAGGCACAAGGTAGGCTGCACAATCTTTAACTAGAAGTTAAAGATTTCACTGTTGATGCCTGGCAACTAAACCCTATCCTGACCATGCCCAGATGCGGCTTGTGCACCATGCCATGCCAGGGATCATGCTTGCATGTATCATTCCAACAAGAAAGCTTATCCTTTACACAGGCAAAAGCTGCTAACTCCCCTGAAACCTGTACAGACCAACCATAAGCGATGTAAATGAGGAGCTGGGAAAGAACAGGGTCTTGCTCTAAGGCAGTTTTGAGCTCCTGGACCAATGCTAGTCTATGCAGTAGACGATGTAGGAGTTGGATTATGTCTGCTTCAGGGTAGTTAACTTCATCTGTTGTTTCCTGAACTGGGACAGAGTAAGACAACAGGTCAGCCATTACATTTTCATGATCTGGTGTGATCTGGTGCGTGTAGTTTTGCTGACAAAGCCAATCATATGTAATATAAAGGGGTCTATATCTGT